ACCATGAAGGTCAAGCTCAGAGCCCGACGGCTCTAGAATGTTGTTGACAAGGGCACCGACAGTGAAGAAGATGACATGTCAGCGTTGGAGGCGATCCTCGCTGCTGTACCGGAAGAGTACAGGGAGACATTGGGGGCGAAGAGCTCTGCTAAGGAGGCATGGGAGGCCATTGCGGCGATGCGCGTCAATTCTGACCACGCAAAGAAGGCAACGGCCCAGCTTCTGAAGCAGGAGTACACCAACCTCAAGTTCAAGGATGGTGAATCAGTGGAGGATTTCTCCCTCCGCCTACAGACGCTCATCAGCAAGCTAAAGAGCCATGGCATCACCATTGACGAAGAGGAGGTGGTCTCCAAGTACCTCCACTCCGTGCTAGCAAAGTACATCCAGATCGCTCTCTTCATAGAGACGATGCTGGACTTGTCCACCCTCACCATTGAGGATGTGACAGGCCGTCTACGGGCGGTGGACGAGCGCCTAGAGTAGGCAACAACAACGAAGGACAGCGGCAAACTGTTGTTGACAGAGGAGGAGAAGAAGCAGGTTGACCCCAACGCCTGCCGGTGCTGCGAGAAGACGGGCCATTGGGCACGGGAGTGCTCAAATCACAAGAAGGAGAAGAAGGCTGAGGCTCATCTAGCGCAAGCTGACGATGAGGATGAGGCCACTATCCTGATGGCGATGTTGTGTGCACTGCACGACGTCGAGGCCGAGGAGAAGGAAGAGGTGATGGCGGTGAAAGGACCTGGGAAGGTCCTGAAGGCTGTCAACCTCGATGAACCACGTGCCCAAGTCCACCTCGGACATGTGGGCGACGAGCAGGAGCAGCGGTGTTATCTAGACCGTGGCGCCAGCAACCACATGATGGGCTCCAAGGAAGTCTTCTCTAAGCTCGACGACGATGTTACCGGTACGGTGAAGTTTGGTAACGGCTCAAGGGTGGCAATCCGAGGGCGCGGCACCATCATCTTTAGGTGCCAGAATGACAAGCACCACGCGCTAACGGATGTATATTACATACCGCAGCTATGTTCAAGCATCATCAGCATTGGCCAGCTGGATGAGCGCGGTAGTGAGGTACTGATCAAGGACGGAGTCCTTAGGATCAGAGACCGGGAGCAGCGACTTCTTGCTAAGGTGAAGAGGTCCCAGAACCGGTTATACTTGCTCGACCTGAAGGTAGAGCAACCGATGTGCCTAGCGGCAAGGCACACCGAGGAGTCATGGCTGTAGCATGCCCAGTTTGGATATCTTAGCTTCGACGCGCTTGGTCGGCTGGAGAAGATGGTCCGAGGGCTACCCCACATCAAGCACGGAGGCGAGCTGTGTGATAGCTGCCTGGCCAAAAAGCAGAGGAGGCTGCCGTTCCCAAAGGCGATCAAATATCGCGTAGAGGATGCTCTTGAGCTCGTCCACGGCGATCTCTACGGGCCGATCATGCCAGCCACAAACGGTGATCGGCGGTACTTCCTCCTACTCGTGGATGATTGCAGTCACTACATGTGGCTGCAACTCCTGACGAGCAAGGACGAAGCGGCAACGGCAATCAAGAAGTTCAAGATGCGCGTGGAGGCCGAGAGCGGCAAGAAGCTACGCACGCTGAGGAATGATCGCGGTGGCGAATTCACTTCGGTGGAGTTCACTGCATACTGTGTGGATCAGGGTATGGTGCGACACCACACCACGCCGTACTCGCCACAGCAGAATGGCGTGGTGGAACGACGGAACCACATGGTGTTGGCATGGCTCGATCCATGATGAAGGCCAAAGGCATGCCGGCAAGGTTCTGGGGTGAGGCGGTGACCACGGTGGTGTTCATCCTCAACCGTGCTCCCACCTAGGCCCTAAAAGGCAAGACGTCGTTCGAAGCTTGGTATGGACGCAAGCCGAGCGTGTCCTTCCTCCGAACATTCGACTGCATCAGCCACGTCAGGAAGACAAAGTCGGTCTTGACCAAGCTGGAGGACAGGAGCACACGGATGGTGTTCCTGGGCTATGCGGAGGGTACCAAGGCGTACCGGCTCTACGACCCATGTGGAGACAAGGTGCTTGTCTCGTGAGACATCGTGTTCGACAAGAAGGCGGCTTGGGACTAGAATAGTCCGAGCACAGGGGAAGCTGGCGGCTTCACCAGCACCTTCATCGTCGAGCACTTGGTCATCCACGGTGGTGGAGATGATGGGGAAGAGGTGCCGAGCACTCCAGCAATAGAGCCGAGCACTTCGGGAGGGATGTCGAGCACTCCGGGGTGAGTGCCGAGCACTCCTAGAGGGATGCCAAGCACTCCGGGAGTAGTGCCGGGAGGTTTTGCAGTGGCAGCGACCACTCCAAGACGGGTGCCGAGCACTCCCGTAGCGGAGCCAAGAAGTCTTGCAGTGGTGCCGACCACTCCAAGACTGAGGCTGAGGACTCCTACAGTGGTGCCGAGCACTGCAGGAGTAATGACGAGCTGTCTAGGAGTACTACCGAGCACTCCAGGTGCTGTGCCGAGCACTCCAGTGGAATAGGGAGCTCCATCGATGCCAATCGAGTTTGCCTCACCTCCAAGTGACATCACTGAGTTCGTGGATGCCTTCCATGAAGGTGAGGAGGTACGGTTCCGCATGCTGGACGACATCGTCGGGTGGCACAGGGCCCTCAGGACTGGCGGGTCGGCTGCTCAATGATCTAGAGGAGCTGCTCGTCAGTGCAGAGGAACCACCCACGTTTGCGCTGGCCGAACGCGGTGGAAATTGGTGAAGGGCGATGCTGGAGGAGATGAAGGTGATCGAGGAAAATGAAACTTGGCAGCTCGTCGATCCACCTCCAGGATGTCGTCCGATCAGCCTGAAGTGGGTGTACAAAGTCAAGCGGGACGAGCAAGGCGCCATTATCAAGCACAAGGCGTGACTCGTCGCCCGAGGCTTTGTTCAGCGCAAGGGCATCGACTTCGAGGAAGTCTTTGCGCCGGTAGCATGCATGGAGTCTGTCCGATTGCTACTGGCTTTGGCAGCAGCAAAGGACTGGCGCGTCCATCACTTGAATGTTAAATCGGCCTTCCTCAACGGTGACCTGGTGGAGACGGTCTTCGTCAGGCAACCTCTAGATTTCGCCGTGAAGGGAGCGGAGCATAGGGTGCTCCGACTACGTAAGGCGCTCGGCAGGCCCCACGAGCGTGGAACACCAAGCTTGACGCCACGCTGGGCGAGCTTGGGTTCATGAGGTGGGCAACCGAGTACACGCTCTACACGCGGCGACGGGGGAAGGATGAGCTCGTCGTCGGCGTGTATGTGGATGACTTGATCATCACCGGCGCGCGTGCGGAGGACATCGACGGCTTCATGCGTGAGATGGCAGCTTGTTTTTGAATGAGCGATCTCGGCGTGCTCTCCTACTACCTCGGCATCGAGGTGAGACAGGGGAAGGAGACACTCACGCTCGGTCAGAGCGCGTATGCCTCGAAGCTGTTGGAGCGGGGCAGCATGGCTGAGTGCAAGCCATGCGTGACTCCGATGGAGGAGCGGCTGAAGCTGACAAAGGCCAGCACCGCGGCGAAGGTGGATACAACACTCTACCGGAGTATCGTGGGCGGTCTGCGCTACCTAGTCCACACGAGGCTGGACATTGCGTTCGTCGTGGGCTACGTCGGTCGCTTCATGGAGGATCACAGAGAGGATCACTGGGCTACGGTGAAGCAACTACTGTGCTACGTCAAGGGGACGGTGGATTAGGGGATAGTCTTCCCGAAGACCGGCGGGAGTAGGCTGCAGCTCACTGTGTTCAGCGATGCAGACATGGCAGGGGACATCGATGGACGACGGAGCACCTCTGGCGTGCTCGTCTTCCTCGAGTCGGCTATAATTTCATGGTTGCTGCTGAAACAGAAGGTGGTAGCGCTATCTACGTGCGAGGCAGAGTACGTAGCGGCGGCCATAGCGGTGTGCCAAGTTGTGTGGCTGCGCCGGCTGCTGGGCGAGCTGACCGGTGCAGAAGCTCACCCCCCAGCACTGATGGTGGACAACCAGCCCGTCATTGTCCTCGCGAAGAATCCAATTCTCCATGACCAGAGCAAGCAAATCGACGTAAAGTTCCACTTCCTTAGGGACTGTGTCGATGGAGGGCAGATCGTTATCGAGTTTGTCGAAACTGGTCGGCAACTCGCCGATGTCCTCACCAAGTCGCTCGGCCGTCTTCGACTCATGGAGCTGAAGAAGATGATCAGCATGGAGGGGGTTCAACGACAACAACATGATTAGGGGAAGAATTGTTAGATAATCCTCTCTGCATCCCTTGTGTGAATGCGCAGCAGGAGAAAGCGGCGCCGAAAAGAGCTCCCTACTGTGTGCATTGTAGCAGCTGCAGGGGCAGGCGCCTAATGGCTCTACTGCCGTCCTGTAGTCACAGCAGGGGCAGGCGCCAAAGTCAGCCCTGCTATCACATCTAACAACTGTAGCAGCATAACAGCTGTACTAGGACTAGATAGATAGAATTATATAAATAGTTTGCCACTGTAACTCAGTAAAGAGAGTTCAGATTTGTCATCTCCTACACAGAGCTCTGGCCAACGCTAGTGTCTCTACTGTGTGTGTATGTTCTATTCTCCCTCACTTCTTCCACCTCTAGCCATAGTATGTGGTCAGACGACGTTTGTCGTGGTCAACAAAACTGGTGAGTGGTCGACTCACCTGAGCCGGTGGTCGGCAAGACTGGTGAGTGGTCGACTCACATGAGCCGGTGATCCTGTGGGCTAACAAAGCCACATCTTTACAATCAATAAGTTAGTTTCGGTTTCCAAAACCATCGACGACCCTGAAAAACCGTTGACCAAATCCTGTAAACAGTGAGCAAATTGACTTCCTCTTCACGATCGACAAATCATAGAGCTCTGTGGCAAACACAGATTTCATCATAACCGTCGGCCCTAAACGAGTCGTCAGTCGAACGATCTCCTGGCCAGCATGGCAGCATGGAAGAAGACAGCCCAGGAGATTCAGACACTAGCATATCCTCTTCCTCTTTCACTAGCTCGTACTTTCTTCGGGTGCAGTTTCTTCATTGGATGCATTCGGCAAGGTCACTTCTGCTTCTTGCGTCGTCGGCAGTGGCGACGTCTGGCTTATGGACAGGTTGATGTCCGGGCCCCGGCTGCTAGATGCGGCAGGTCCCGCAACCGGAGTCTGCGGATCGATGCCATGGGCCAGTAGCTTGTGCGTCTTCCAGTGCTTCTTGATGTGCGTCATCCAGTGCTGCTTGATGTCTTTGTCCGTCCGCCCCGGCAGCCGCTTAGCAATCCGTGACCACCTGTTTGTTTTGCCGTAAGAGAATAAATAATCAAGAACAATATGTGTCAGAGAATTGTTCCCACTCTAATTTTCTGATAATCCACAATTTTCTTCTGTAATTAGTAACGTATACTTGTTCCCGTGGAGCTTGTGGAGCTTGCTGATGAGCTCGTCTTCCTGCGGTGAGCTTGTCGGCTCAAGTAGTTTACCCACCGCAGCCGACAGCTCTTCCCGCTGCGCCGCAGCCCCGCCAATTTGGGGATCGCGCGCCAGGACCCCATGCCATGGGCCTGAATGTAGGCGAGGAGCCGTTCGTCCTCCTCGATGGTCCAGAGGCCCTTCTTTAAGGGTAGTTCCAACCCATGGTTCCTAAGGATAATTTCTAGAGAAGAATGGGAATAATAAATATTGATCTAGACTTCACTAGATGATATCATGACAAATAAAAAACTCCTAGTTCTAGTAGGGGCAGGCGCCATGTTTTGGGCCATATGGTTAAGTCGGAATGATATTGTTTTTTTATAACATACCCACTTTATCTTTTATGCAAGTTACCTAGAGGGGTACGCATTGGATGAGGACATGGTCACTGTTTCAAAAGGAGGAGTTATTGCGTAATGCATGCCTTCTACTGAAAAATTTGACAATGGAGATCTTCGCTAGATATGAATGGAGGTTTAGCAATAGATTAAGCTTACGATGAATTTCTTTTGCTTTATCTCAGCCGTTTTGTTGGCTGATGGGTGTGAATCCTATGTGGACGACGGAATCTATCCATAGTAAAACTTCATAATAATTTTCCGTTATAAGCATCTCACGATGTTGAGGCCGGGATATTTTTTAATTGCTTTATGAAATAAACTTCTCTTTATTAAAAATACATCACAAACATAGGTTGATAAGTTGTGGCTAGCAGTCGTGTAGGGCAGCCTGCAACACAACTCATGTTCCAGTATTGACTGCAGGCATATTCCTGGCCCATTTCGCGGATATTTCGCGGTGCCTTCGGACACCTCGTGGAGACGGCTCTCGTGAAGGTGGTCCCGTTCCGTGGTGGTGATTTCCTTTTCAGGCCCTATTTGGCACAGTTTTATGAGATGTTGTGAGCTATTTTTTTTTGGCAAACAAGTGTTTTCAAAACAACTTTATGGGTGAAGCTCTTTTTTAGGGCTCTCATAAAGAGATGGGTGAGGTAAAACTGAAAAAAATAGCTTATTCTAGTTTCATCTGACACAAGTGGGCCCGGTAGGACTAAAGGACGGGCATGTGCCCCTTTTGCTCTCGGGGAACGAGCGCAAGGGGAGGAGACCTCGTCGGGGACCTCGCGACCCGTCGGGGACCTCGCGACCCATCAGGGGAGGAGACCTCGCCAGGGACCTCACGACTCGCCGAGGACCTCACGCCCTGCCGGGGGAGGAGACCTCACGCCTCGCCGAGGGCACGGCCGCCGGGTCATGGCCCGCCGGGGCTCCTGCCCTTGCCCTTCCACCATGCCGGCATCCTGCCGCTCCACGGAGAGTGCCCGAGCAGGCATGCGGCCACTGGGGCTCACGGCCGTCATGGCAGGCGCGCGGACGCCGGGGCTTGCCGCCGGTGGGGTGCGGGCGCTGGCGCAAGGCGCCGCCGTGGGGGCGCAGGCGCTTGTGTGAGGCGCTGACGTGGGGGCATGGGCGCTGGTGCGAAGGCTGTCGAGCTCGGAGGCGGGGTGTCGGGAAGGAGATGAAGAAAAAGTGGAGGAGAAAGAAAACCAAAAGGCATTATAGTCCTTTTTTTGTTTGGTGTTCTATGTGAAGCAATGTTGTGACTAGAGTTCGAACAAGTGATGGAGACACGGATGACTTTCCGATTAGGATAGGACTACATCAAGGGTAAGCTTTGAACCCTTATTTGTTTGCCTGAGTGATGGATGAGGTCACAAGGGACATACAAGGGGACATCCCTTGATGTATGCTTTTCGCGGACGATGTAGTACTAGTTGATGAAAGCCGGACATGAGTGAATCAGAAACTAGAGTTATGGTGGGAGACTTTGGAGTCCAAAGGTTTTAGACTCAGTAGAACTAAAATTGAGTATATGAGATATGACTTCGGCACTACTACTCGGAAGAAGGAATATATTAGTTTAGAAGGTCAAGTAGTGCCCAGGAAGGATACCTTTCGATATTTAGGATCAATGCTACAGAAAGACGAGGATATTGATGAAAATGTTAGCCATAGAATCAAAGCAGGGTGGATAAAGTGGCGGCAAGCATCTGGTGTCCTATGTGACAAACGGATACCACAGAAGCTAAAAGGCAAGTTTTATAGGACGGCGATTAGACCTGCTATGTTGTATGGTGCAGAATGTTGGCCTACGAAAATACGGTATGTTCAACAGATAAGTGTCGCGGAAATGCGTATGTTGCGTTGGATTTACGGTCATACAAGAAGGGATCGAGTTCGGAACGATGATATACGTGATAGATTAGGGGTAGTACCAATTGAAGAAAAGCTTGTCCAACACCGGTTGAGATGGTTTGGACATGTCCAACGGAGACCTCCAGAGGCACCGGTGCGTAGTGGAATCCTAAGCCATGATAGTAACGTGAAGAGAGGCAGAGGAAGACCGAAGTTGACTTGAGTAGAGGCAATAAAAGGAGACCTGAAAGGATGGAATATACCAAAGACTTAGCCTTAGATAGGAATGCTTGGAAGACAGCTATTCACGTGCCTAAACCTTGATTGCTTCTGCTGGGTTTCAACTCTAGCCTACCCCAACTTATTTAGGACTTAAAGGCTTTGTTGTTTCTATGTGAAGCTGTTTTGCCAAATGGGGTCGCAAAAACAGCTCAGCTTCACTGAGAAAGTTGCTTGTTAAACTAAAAATAAAAAAAAACAGTTTCACTATTGAAGCTGAGCTGTGACAACTGACAAAGGAGACCTAACTTTTCGATGCATTATTAGAAGGTTGGTTAACAGAAAAGGATGAGGGCAGCACCCAACGTTTATGTATATATAGTTATATACCCGAGTAGGTAGAACTATGTATAATGCGTAACAGAAAAGGATGAGGGTGCACCCAACGTTTATGTATATGGCGTTAGGCGACGTCCTGCTCATCTACCGACGTCCTGCTCATCTACCAAGGCCAACGACGACGGGAGGGCCAGAGGGACCATCCAATGGGAGATTCTGGAGCAGGGACGGAGGCGACTCAGAGCCATGCCGTCAAGGTCTCCAACTCCATCCTCGCAGCTTCTAGCCGCATCAGGGTCGTGGAAGACAAGAGGGATTGAGGGATCAGAGATGTAGACCCTGGAGACCTTGTTTGATCCGCTCAAGATGGGGCTTGGGAAGAGGGGCGGTGACAACCGGCGGCGCGGGAGGATGCAGCGTGTGGTGTTCGCCGGCGCGGGAAGAGGAAACGGCGTACAACAATGTGGGAGCAACGTCGGCGGCCTATGGCACGGGAGGCAGCGGTCGGCGCCACAGAGATTTTGGGGGAAGAATAGATAAGAAGTATTAGGAGAGATATGTATAATTAAATTTAACTTACATGCAGGATCCACAACGGTGACATCTACTGTCTCTTTTGTCCTAACTCTCTATCCCTTTTTGCCCTAACTGTCTCTATCCCTTTCGTCAAAAAAACACATCTACTATCCCTTTTGGCCAAACTCTCTCTATCCTTACTATTCGTCACGTGTCCCGATGAGAAAGCATGGTGCATCTACTCGAGGTGGTAGCACTGTGGAGGGTTCTAATTCGGAACCCTTGTAATTTTTGCGCTTGTGTTATTTCTCAAGCACGTCCTAATTAAGAAGGCTAGATGCTAGGTAGTCGATGAGTTGGCAAGAAGGCTAGAGAGTTCTCCAAATAATAGTCGATACATGTATCGCCCTTAGAACAAATATGGCTGATGTATACATCGCCTTTAGATGCTAGGTAGTCGATGAGTTGGACATCGCTGCTATTTAGTGCATTTGTGTTTTCAGGTTCATACAAGATTCACCTAAAAATAGGGGCTATATGTTGACAACCACAAGTGGTCAACGTGTGTGATGAACATCATCATGACGTGTGTGATGAACAACGTCACGACGTTCATGGTGTCCAGAAGATCAAGGAAATATACTGGAATGTTACATTCGGATGCCGGAAGATCAAAAGGAGGTTTTCGCTTGCTCTGTCAAAACTGGCCTAACCGGATTCCCAAACCTGGCCTGGACCCGACAAAACTAGCCTGGACGGTTTTGGAACCAGCTGGGCCGGATTTTCTGCTGTCCTTAGACCGGTTAGAGTTCAACTCGGTTTTGGCTCATGTTTTGACATGGGAAACTTGCAAAAACATGTTTGGGATATGTTTTCTACTGGGATAAGACCACTCCCCTCTATATATCGAAGGATCACGGCCCATTGAGAAATCCAACTTCCAATCATAAAAAAAAAACACATCTACTATCCCTTTTGTCCTAACTCTCTCTATTCTTATTGTTCGTCGGGTCTCTCAATGAGATTTGGCGATGTTCTATGTGGCCTTGCCAACCATACAACATACACCTTTATGGGAAAGCCCGGTGCATCTACCCGAGGTGGCAGCACTGTGGAGGGTTCTAATTTGGAACTCTTGTAATTTTCACGCTCGAGTTATTTCCTGAGCACGTCCTAATTAAATAAAACACGCAAAATATTCACAACTATGTTTCATGTGTAATGTGTAGTCGTAATTAAGTAGCTAGTGATACATATTGCAACTACATTTGGTGTGTAATGTGTAGTTATTTGCTTCCTCCGTTCCTTTTTAATTGTCGTTCTCACGTATCGATGAGTCAAACATACTCAACTTTGACCAAACATATATAAGAGATTACTAATATTTATGGTGCGTAATAAGTATTATTATATTAATTATTGCATAAACTTTTGCAATACACTTATTTATAGATACAAATGTTACTAATATTTTCTATAAATCTAGTCAAACTTAAGAAAGTTTGCACTTAAAATGGCACAGTCAGAGTATATGTTATTTCTATATACGATAATATGTGCAAGTACACACTAAACTAAGTTGTAGTTGAATTGTAATCTATGTTGCAACTAGTCTATTACATGAGGTGCAACTACAAACTTTTGAGCCTAAATTGTTTAGATGACCACACAACAAGGTATATGTTCTGTTGCAATGCACGGACATATTTGCTAGTCTTGGGTAAATCTCTTAGCTTCCCATGCTAATATGAATCAGAGCAAATACACGTGCTGTAATCCAATTACAAGCGAACTGAAACGCACTGATCCGCACATTATCTAAGTGACCATAGAACAAGTTTTACTTCCTATTATAGTATACCGACATGTTTGTTAATGATATATAAAAGATGGATGGTGAATACGGTATTAATTTACTGCTGTAATTACCGGCTAAATATGGCATTAAAAATGATTTAAAACGGCTCAAGTCGTTTTGGCTCTCGTTTCCATTTCTTACTTTCTATTTCTGTTTTCTCTATAACCATTTTCATTTAGTTCTAAAAACCGGTAAAATATTGAAAACTATTCCAATTTTAGAGCACAATTCTGCTCCGCTGCCTGTCCAAGTTCTTCTTTTTATTATTTTCATTTTCCAAGCTTAGATCCATGTTTGCGGCAGGTATCCATAGTCAGTATTCTAGCTTCGGACATGCAAGAGTGGAACGCACTCTGGATCCTTAAGCGTTTGTTAGATTCTAGCTATGCGGCTGACTCAAGTGAGAATTTAGGTCGTCCATAATAGGACCTAGTATGTACCACCTTTTAAGAACTCGTATCCTTATTGAGAGTATATATATAGACCTAGATGAGAATTTGAAAAAAGTATATAAGGACATCTGGACATGGCTACACGCACTTTACCGAACATATATATAATGTCCCACTGGATTATGAAATTCAAAACTATGAGCGTTAATATTTATATTTTATATATTTAGGTTGAAACGGCAAATTACATATACATATTCGCATTGGACGTACATTCAGAAGATCCTACTTTATTATGTAGCATGAATGTACTACATTGAAAACTAGGTTCAATGAGTCTACTTTTTCTTCTTTGCCATATTTTGAACAAGATGTTTGTGCTAGGTAATTATTTATTTCAAATTTTATCTCTATTTTCATAATACTAGCATTTTTAAACATATTTGAATTTTGAAGTATTGATGTTTTATTAAGAGTAAATGCACTAGGGTCCCTAAAATCATCGAAATTTAGCCAGATTGCACTTGCCTTGCGCTTTTAATTTAAGAATCCAAATTATGTAAACCCTTAGAGATTTTTGACAAAAATAGTAAAGAGGATGACAAATACCAATGGCCATTTATCAATAACTCTTTGGGATTCTTAATAGTTTTGTGGTGAGAGGTAATAGAAAAAAACCATGGAAATTTACTCATTATTTAGTTGAAAAACGAAAATGATGTATATCATTTACTTTGGTGGGGTTAAGTTATCTGAACACGGGCATTAGATTGTACAAAAAATAAAGTTTAATTTTGAACCATGTGCGAAAGTTATATGTTTATTTTTGTCATTTTCAGTATATATAGTTTACTAATACTTTTGCACACATTCACCAATAGGGTACGTAAAATGTAGTGCACAATGAAAAAATGATAAGGAAGTTTGTAAGTCGAATGAAACTGAATTACCTGAACCAGAACAGCTCGTTGGAGTATCATCAAATCGGGAAATCCTGACAACCACAACGTCCACTATGTTAAAGCAACCCGATACAACAAATTAAGAAACAAACAAATATATCGCAATGTACCTTCAGTATTCATCTTTAGAGAAGTACATATGAATGGTAAGTTTTAAGATATAGTTAAACAGTTAAGTAATTTGTTGCCATTATTATTAGCGGAATACGTAATCCAAACATCAAAAGAATGTTATCTTTATCCTGAAATATAAGGTACTGAAAATTTATCTCAAATTATAAGGTATTCTGGACTGCTTCACCCCATGCATGCAAGCATGCCTTTTAAACCTTATCCATACATGCTTTATATTGCATAAAATAACTCCTGTAATTCGTAACTGAAGTCAATGTCATGCATGCATGTCTTTTTAAACTATAAGTTACTAGAAAATTAAACAAGTTGACAGCCAAACTAACTAATTAGTGAGGGGCAAGTGAGTCTTTTGCGAGACTCCTTATTTGGTCTTAAAATTGCTCGGATACTTTGTATTATTTCAGGATGGAGGGAGTAACTTTTAGATGGAGAATCGTGCACCAACATGTTAAAACAATAAAAATAAAAATTGGTTAGTATGGATTAGGGGTTTATTTGCTTTACTTTTATAGAAAATCTAGTATATTAGGGCATTATGACCCACCTTTTGTTGTTGTTGTTGTTGTTCACACGTCCCAACAACCCTTGTGCACCCAAGTGCAATAAATTTAACAATGTAAATAGACTGTAATACCAAGCATATTAGTATTTTGCCTTATTATGACTTGTTTGGTTGCACTCCAATTCACTAAAATCCACATGTGTTGGGAGAAATTGATGTGAAATATTATCTCTCACAAGCCACGTGATTTTGCAACCAAACAAACTCTTAGTGTTCTTGTTTCACGATGGTGTGGCTGAAGTGTTTCACCATGGTCCATTTTTTTGATAGAGAACTCGTCTGTATTAAACAGTAAGGATGACGTACATCGACGGGTTCATAAACGAGTAGGTATGCAAAGGATACGGGTAGGGCTTCTATCCATGCCAACTAATAAATAGGACCCTAGAAAAAAAGAAAATAACCAAAGGCCCTTGGGCACCTCTGTGTACGCTAGAAACGTCATGCGTCGCTGGAATCCAACATCGCCAAGGTAATGACTAGATGAAGAAGACGGTGGCGGACACTGGAATCAACCAAAGCTCCATCGCCCAAAGGCTTTGAAAGAAGCTGCAGAAGCATCCCGCCCCTAAAGATGGGAATTGAAAAACAAAACCTTGCATAACCATCAGACGGGTACAAATCCCATTCTTTGCCTGATTCTAGATCTGTTCATGCCATCGGAAGACAGCGAAGAAGATGAACAGATCCACATTCCATCTGACCAGGAACCCATCAGCCACCCTATCACATGCTTTGCAACATGCTACCGGCACCCCCGCTGAAGAAAACAGAAGAACCAAGCAGCCCAAAACTCCTATACATGAGTCAAGAAGATCTAGAACTAACCCATGGAGGAAAGCAAAAGATCCACTGGACTCCGTCTTCACAGACCCATCGCCGGTGCTGGAGCAAACACCGACGAGGCAGGGAAGAGGCCAAAAGGATGGACCTTATTCCATGGAGTTGCCGACACCACCGCCACATCGCCAGCTCCTGGACACTAACCCTAACAAACGCAGGCACCATCCCCACCCACCAGCAGAGAACCGCAGTCCACCCCACTTCCGAAGGCCATATGTCGACCACCAGAGGCGAGAAGGACCAGCGGCCCCGCTGGTGGGAGGGCACACTCTCGAAATTGCCTCCGATTCGCCCCTTTGCACTCTAGCGAAGGGGAAAGACGGTTTGAAAGAAGTCACGAGGAATCACCATGGTGCATTTGGTCAATATGCTAGGTATATTTGGACCAGTTTATAAATTCAAGTGATCTAAATAAAGCACAGTGCTATACACAAGGTAGGCATAGACCTATGCGTGCTTTCGTCCTCATGATGTTAATGATTGTGTACATCTTCATTTTAACCTTAGTTAACGGATGGTGTAGTAATCCCACACAACCCGCCATCTCATCTATCCTTATGGATTTTAATCCTCATGTCATTTTATAAATATATCACAAAATCCAATGCTATAGATATCCATATGACAAAACCAGATGGTTTAGAATATATTATATTTCCCCAATCCTAAAATACAAGGTATCGAAGGATCAAAATTTGTTCCGAATTATACAGAATTCTAGCTTGCTTAACCCTATCCATGCGTGCCTACCTTTAAAACCCCATCCATGCATGTCTTTTATACATCATCTAGCCCAAAATAACTCTTGTAATTGGTAATCAAAATCAATGACATGCATACACCACAGCTTTTTAAACTATGCCCTACTAGAAAATTAAGCAAGTTAACAATTTAACTAACTAGTTACTGAGGGCAAGTTAGTCTTTTGCCAACATCCTTATCTAGTTCTAAACTTGTTTGGATACCTTGTATTTATGATGGAGGGAGTATGATATAAACAGAGATGGTCAACCCTCCATGGTCAACAAAAATAAGAAATGCAATATGGAATATTAAAACAAAACTCGAGTTCTTGATCTCCAGTTAAGATTAAACAACCGATATATAATAGCGTTGAGCCAACTTAATTATATACACACCTGAGTCTTATTCCTCGATATTTATTTTAAGGTCAGATGCATATTTATTGTAAATCTTTCAATGAACTTCAAGGAGAAGAAAGGCACATACTCTTCGTCAAACAAACCCACAATTCGTAGGTTGAAGTTTGTAAGTCTTGGATGCTTGCTCACGGCATCTTTGAACACAGACTCCACAGCTGTTCTGTCGGATTCCTCTAAACCGGGTGTTGCCCCGATCCTTCCAGTGATCTCCTGGAGGTTTAACAAATGTTCAATGCCGGCAAGCATGTTACCGTTCTGATCTCCACTGTGGGCATTGAATTCAAGCTTCAGCCTTTGAAGACTAGGCATTGCATCTGGCTGAAAAGCAATGCGCATAATGTCACATCTGAATCTGAAACACTTCAGAACAGGAAATGATCCACGATGGAAGACAATCATTTCTGCGATTGGTTGCCTGATGTACAGAGAGAGAATGGTGAGTTCCTGCAATTTGGCGATGCTGTCAATATCACCAGTCATCAATTCCCTAAGAACAATTTTCAAAATGCGCAGCTTCCGGAGCTGTCCAATCCAAACCGGGAGTCTTGAAAAGATGCAAATGGGCGGCAACAGCTCTAGTCTCTGAAGGAAGACGGACAGAGAAGATATGCTCAATGAGCAATCCAAAAAAATTCTTGCACATGAAGAAGCAGGAGCAATAATTATGGATTTTAGATTGCCAAGTTTCTCAAGGGAAATAGCAAGAGCTGTCAACTTTTTCTTCAGATCCAGAATGTCAGAAATTTCTGTAGGACTGGTGACATGAAGATCATGCAGGTCCGTCATCTGGCCAAGTTGCCATATATTATGTTCAGAGTTACTGCTGAGGTCAAAAGACTGAAGTGTGCGTAGACATCTCATGTGGCCTATACCCTTGGACAGATTTATCTTACCATGTACACAGAGGTGCAACAATCTCGGGAGATGAATAATATCTGATGGAACAGAAGTTACTCTAGCATCAATTTCCATTGTTTGCAAATATGGCAGTCCAATCATTCTGGCTGGTAGTTTCACAATGATATTAGATGTAATCTTCATGTACCTCAGCTGAAACAATCTGCCAATGCCACTGAGGTCTAATAACTCTTCCTTGTCACCCCAAACTTCAAGAATAAGAACTCGAAGTACCTCGAACTCCATAATCGAAGGGAGGCACTCAACAAGTCCATAAAAGATAAGTGACCGAACAGGGGATAGTGTAATGCTTTCTGGTCTCATTGCATATTTGGCACTACTGAATCTGAGAGATAGTCGTCGAACCTTTAACGAGAGCTCTGAGATGGTATTGGAGTAGTCTATCATAGTACTGAAGTTCTCTTCTATGGACATGCTCCTAATAACTTCGAATACAGTGGAGCACAGTGTATATAAAATCACCTCATCTGAGATATTGGTATGATTGGGCTGTATCAGTCCCCTGCAGATAAGCTCATCAAAATAACACTCAGCAACTTCATCACAATTTTTCTCTTCTACTGCAATTATAAAACCTTCAGCACTCCATTGTTTCACCAAGTCAGCCCTCAAGAATGTATAACCCTCAGGATACATACTAAGGTATAGTAGGCATGTCTTCAAATGGTGGGGAAGACTATTGTAGCTCAGACCTACTATTTCTTTCAGCATGACTTCAGAAGGAGGATTATATCTCAATCTGGAAAATAATACTTCTTTGACATGTTGCCACAGCTCTAAGTTATCTGGTTGGATTGCTAAAATGCTAGCTATGCTAATGGTGGCGAGTGGCAGACCACCACATGTTCTTATAATTTCTTCAGAGTTTTCCTTCAATTGTTTAGAGCACTCGTGTTTAAATCCAAACACTCTATTGAAGAACAATTCTGTGGAGTAATTTCCACCAAGTGGCTCCATCTTAAAAATAGCATCAGACTCATAATCACAGCACTCCAGAGCTACTTCCTCAATATCTGTAGTTATTAATATTCTGCTACAATGAGTGTCCTCTGGAAATGCGCTGATAACAATATCCCATGATGTTGTTTCCCACAAACCATCTATTACAATGAAATACCTGCCAAATATTTTTATAATTATTATGTGCCAGGCTAGGTGCAATATAAAAATTACAAAAACATGACAATCCAAACTTATGGAACATAAGGATTATATTTGCATTGGCTTTCCAGTTTCCCTAATAGTTCCAAATTTTCTTATTTGACCTGATGAACTTGCACACCTGCTTTGAGTTTGTAGGCTCAAAATATTGGTATTTACTTTTATCACGATTTCACAGTTTCAAGTTTAAACTACACTGTGTTAGGAGCAGCAGAAACCATAAGTTTATTGTCAGTAGTGACATCTATATTTTTTATTTGTTTTTTCCTTTTCCTTACAATTCATGAGTTGTCAGATTTTCTCATTGTTGCTATTCATACTCATTGTAGCAGCTATAGCCGGAGATGGAGCCACTTAGTAAATCAAGATTTACCTGTGCACTGAATTCATAATCACATTACTCAGAAATTCAGTGCGTAGGTGAATCGGCTAGTATATCAAGATTTTCTTTTCAGAATTTTTTCCTGTTGATCCAGTGATTGGTCAAGCTCTACCATTTCATCATATAAATGCTGAAAACAGAAAGCCAATCATACTGTGCATGCTTTTGGAAAAGGAGGAAGCACTGCTTAACATACACTTATACCTCTTTTGTTGGAGATGTGTTCTTAGGATGTCAAGGAGCTCTTGCACGGGGAGACCATGAGGGGGTCTTTGATGGCGGCCCTGGATTTGGGAGATGATGTTACCGAGAAGCCTCCTTGTATCAGGCATCTTTGAGGCTCGAACAAAAGCTCGACACTCGAACTGTCCTTCCACTTCACGGTACACTTGTTTGGCAAGTGTAGTCTTACCAACACCTGGAGGTCCTTGTATGGATACTACTAGCCTCTGTTCGGCGTCAATGTTGAGCCGCTTGATAAGTTCGACCTTGGAATCATCGATACCAACAAGGTCCTTGGCCTCCCCCTCCCCGACGTACAACAGCGGATCCACGGGCAGATCCATCGGCTTGGCTGCCGCAGCGGTGGCGGCGGCCACGGTTACCGGGCCCGTTGACGCCGCGTCCGGCTTCCGGCGGTGTATGTGACAGAGCAGCCGCTTCTCCCCTCGCCGGAAGAGATCGTTCGCGAACTCCCACCTGTCCGGAACAATCTTCCTGAATCCCTGCACCCGGGGGTACCGCGGATCACAACAGTCAGTGCCATGCCGAGACAACACGGAAGAAGAAAGAAATCTAGATCAAACGATGCAACGGGACGACGATGGACTCACGTAGGTGTTGAGCTGGAGCAGGAAGCTGGAGAAGTTGTTGTGCTTGAAGTACTTGGGTAGGAGGTCGCGCGCGAACTCCGCCGGGCGCCAAACGATGAAGGCGGACCCATCGTCGTTCCACGAGATAACGTCGTCCACCGCCGGGTCGTCCACCAGCTGGTACGTCTTGGCGATGAACGGCGTGGGCAACGACGCCGCCTTCCCTGACGCTGACGCCACCGCCGGCGCCGGCTGCGGGGTGGCGGGACCGCTCGCGCGGATCTGACCGGGGTCGCCGTTGAGCCTTGGAACCCGACCTTGCCCATCGACCACAGATCTAGGATTCGATGCCCAACGCCCAAGATCGTACCTGTTGTGCCGTTCGTGGGCGTCCTTGGCCTGCTTCACGAGAGTGCTTAATTCCTCCACCTCAGAATCAGAACGAGGCTCTTCCCTAGAAATGTGGCCGGGGTGCATCGTCTTGTCAATGTAATCCTCGATATCGTAGGACAGATCACGCACCTCGTTCATCCAGTGCTTCACCATCATGTTGGGAGTTTCCACCCATGACAGATTCACGAGGAAGGTGTTTATTGCTTCGAGATCTTGTCTGAGGAGCTCGAGCTTGTCCTTCTGTGACTTCAACGGCTCTGGCAGCTGATCCTCTGCAGAGACCAGCAGGGAACGGAGCTTCGCAAGAAGGGATCCCATGGCGCCCAGCGAAGAACTGAAGATCTGAACCTCCGGGCCTATTTGCTCGGCGCAGGGCCGGCTCCCAAACGTCTGATTTCGCAAGCCTGCGGCTGGCAGCGCTGGCTGACCGGCAAGGACACCTGCGCTGCTGCCGGCAAGCTGCATCCCAGGATGCGAGGCAAACATATCCATCACTGATGGGAAGAATCAAAAGCATCGAGAGAAAGCGTAGTTATCTACCCCACACCATCTAGTCTGGAATTGACACCGCAGTCCGCAGACGTGAGAACCTGGGAAATAGTAATTGTGGCTCTGCTAGTGCTAATGACTTCCTTGTGTCTGATTCCGTTACTTTTTCTTACTCTATTCTATCTTTAAAGACGGTCCAACACTAGAGCCAGAAGAATAAATGCCCCTATTAGCCGACTTCTCCAACGGTACTGATTTTTAACACGTAGCTTTTAATATAGATAGTTCCACATTAACTTCGAGACATGTACGAAAGCTTAGCTCTAAATTAAAAAGTAGCTTCTTTTTTCTATTAAAATATAAAAAAAATAAGTAGCTTTTTTCTTCTATTAAAATATGAAAAAAAATTTATTTCTTCTATTAAAATATAAAAAAAATTAGTAGTTTCTTTCTTCTATTAAAATATAAAAAAAAATACTGAAAGCTAACTTAAAAATCGAATGTCGGAGGTACCTTCGAAAGCCTGCTTTCTCACAGGAGAAGGAAATGAATTAAGAAAGTGGTAAAGGGACGGTCGCTCTCGAGCAGGTACAATAATGGACCTGTTGCAAGCCATTATTGGCAGCCGCTGACGCTGCCTTGGACCTGTGACACAGGTACTGTTTAAACAATGAAAAATGCAGCAGCAGCCGCTGGCAAAACGCCAGCCGAACAGGCCCAATAAATATTCAGCTGTCGTTTCGTTGTAAACGATGGTGGATTATTTATTGCTGGTTAGTTTGATGTAAGAAAAAAATATTATTCTAACTTATAATTCACGATCATATACGAGCAAGCGAACAGGCTGATTAATGCTGAGGGGAGAGAAAAGAAGAGAGGAAATGAGAAAAAAATAGAGCTTGACTCTTATGCCAGCAACAAGCTAGACACGGAAGCCTGATTGATCTAGACATCAAGTGAATATGATGAGGATTAGAAAAAAGAAAGTGAGACATGAGTAAAAGTAGTAATAAAAAATTTATAAACAAATAAGAGACCACTATTGTATGGCTTAACTCTTACAACTTAATTATTTGTAAGGCTAATCTCAATGGGATTTTATGACAGTTTCATGGACATTAAATATACTGACATAGCACTGTATTGATGAAAAAAGAGATGATAAAAGTTTCACGGGAATAGAGAGATTTCATGGGGATAAAACTCTTCAGCATTGTTTCTAAAATATAGGAGATGTTGAAAACTAAGATATAAAACGACCACTGAAACTGGCCTAGCAACTAAACACTTAGCTCTATTATTGACTTGCTCTTGTAAGCTACTCCGTCCATCCTAATAAAATGTATTTTTTTTCAAATCACGAACCCACGCTCCCTATAAACGTGTGCACAAACACCTCTAAAAGACTGACTAGACCGACCAATTTTGAGATGGACGAAGTCCCTGTATATACTTGTTATTAACAAAAAATCATCACGTATCCTAAAAATAACACCATTAAATTTTAAAATGCATCTAAAAAAGATACTGCCACCCGAACCAGCTGAGCCACTCCGCTCGCAATAAAATGTGATTCCAGCTTCCTATATATAGTTATTTTTACATATATATGTATATATAAATATTAATATCATATTATATAAATTTAGTAAAGTTAAGATATTTTGATAGGGACCAAATCAAAAATTGCATTAAGAGGTAGTATATATATTTTTGAATTACCGTGAGGCCGCCATTAGGCATTGTTTTTGTAGCCCAATTAAAATAAACTCATCAAGGAGATAAAAGAAAAGAACATGGCATACTAAAAGACCATAATACCCCTCCCATCTCAATTTCCCCTGTCGCCTATTTGCCGCGACTTTCCCGATAAACAAGAAGTCCATTTCTCTGTGTTGCCTCCGGTGCAGCCTCCCTCCGTTCCCATCCCAAATCGGGGATTTTTCACTTTTACCATTATTACGGATGGCGCTTTCCGGTTTGGCACTCTTAGGGCTGATCTTTCAAGTTCATCACTCTTAAGATTGGTCTCTTGCCGTTTTACCACTTTTTTCCGACGTGGCGATCCAGACCATATCACCGACATCACCGGATCCGTGGTCGGCCCACAGGAAAAACGGACGACGCCGCCTCGCTGTTTCACTTGGCGAGAGCGGGCCGGGCCAGTCCGCTTTCGGCCCACTCATTCTCTCCTCGCCTCGCCCTTCTCCCCAGTAGCGTGAGCCGCCGCACCGCCCGCCATCGTCTTCTTCCTCCTTGCCTTGTTGCCGTTGCCTCGCTTCAAAGAATTCATGGCGACACAGTACCATTGTCCTTGGTGGCCTCCGGTTCAACCCGCCCGACGGATCAAGGTATGTGCCCTTACTCTTCTTTGCCACCCGGCATCAGCGTGGTTAAGGTCGTGACCTCGTCTTCCTCGTGGGCCTTTGATGTAGTACGTCGTCATCTCCCCGTCCGCAATGGCCGATTCTCGACCGCCTCCTTGGTATGCACTGCACTCCGCCCCCGGCCCATCGTAGGCCTTTGAATGTATTTGCTTATCTGCTTTGATTGTTTATCATGATGCTAGGATCGATCCCGGCGGTCGCGTTTAGGCTAGTTGTTAAGGTTTCTCGATATGTTGCCGATGGCGAATATGGGCTAGTGGACATGTCGAGGCGGCACCATCATCACATCTGGTTTGATAGGGACAGCCTTACTCTCTGCCTCGGTTCCATGAGGATTTAAGCTCAAAGATCATTTGGGGGCCTCTTCAAACACTTTCAGTGTGGGTTGTAGATCAGGATACTGGCTCTGAGTGGCGACTTAGGAGGGATGAGCATGTGCAGCAAATGGTCAAGGATAGATGGGGTTTGTGATTGGCTTTTCTTAATGTGGAAGTTGTGAACAAAAATCATGCAATGACAATGATAGCTCTGCTTTGCATCTAAGGGAGGTAGGTGTGTCTCTGGTGTGACTAGTGGCAATGAACCAAACACAGAACCTGTAGATGTTGAGGGTTTTGGTGATACCTGCAGCACCCCAACTCCTCCTCCTGAAGTGCCAGTAGCAATTGATTGGACTACTCTAGTCATACAAGAGAAGCCTGATGATGATGGTACTGCTACACAGCTTGTTGATGAGGAACAGATATATGAGGCTATGGGGTTCCAGCAGGCTGAGGCATAACACAAGAACAAGGTGGTACAGAAGAGGTACCAATTCCAAAGAATCCCTCCTGAAGTGCGAAGAAGAAATGAATGAAGTCATTGTGGATGTTGATGATAATCTGGTGATGAGGAGCCTTTGTATGAATGGGACAGGGACAATCCTGATATGAGTGTTGGCATTTGCTATCCTAATATTGATGAATTGAGGCTAGCTGTTAGGCAACATGCTATAAAAAAAGAGTTTGAGCTGCAAACTGAACACTCGAGATAGAGATAGATCTGAGGTTAGATGTGGTGCTCGTGGGTCATCCATGGAGACTTGTGGGTAAAACCGGCATGATGGAAGTTGCAGGTACATTTTCTGCAAAGACTTGCTTACTTCGATATGGTTATTATTGCTGGTTTCTTACTGATCTTAGTTCATTATGGTCTGTCCAACAGTTCCTAACTATAATGTACCATGTTTTCTATTTTTTGCAGATTCAAATAAATACTGGGGGGCACAAGTGTGCATCTACAACAAGGGTTGAGGACATAACAATGGCCAATATCAAATGGGTAGCGAAGAAGGCGCTTCAATTCTTAAAGAAGAAGCCAGGAATGGGGGCTACAGAAATGAAGAAAGAGTTGAAGTTCAAGTATGGGATTGATGTCAACTACCACACAGTGTACAAAGGGACAAAGAGAGCATCTGACAAGTTATTTGGTAAGATCAGTGATTCTTTTGATTGGTTGTATAGGTTTAAGGCTGAAATTGAATTGAGATCACCTGGTAGTGTGGTAGAGATAGACACTACAACTGATGAAGAAGGCAAAGTTAGGTTCATGAGAGATTTTACGTGCATTCAAAGCATGTATAGATGGATTTGTGAATGGCTGCAGGCCTTATATTAGTATGGACTCAACAGCCTTGAATGGCATGTGGAATGGCCACATGCCAGCAGCCTTAGCTTTAGATGGACACAATTGGATGTTTCCTCTTGCATTTGGGTTCTTTGAATCAGAAACAAAGGACAATTGGGTTTGGTTCATGCAACAACTTAGAAAAGCAATTGGACCAATGGATCCTCTAGCCATCTGTACAGATGCATGCAAGGGGTTAGAGTCTGCTGTAAAGCTGGTTTTTCCTCAAGCAGAGATGAGAGAGTGTTTCAGGCATTTAATGGAGAACATGAAGAAGTACTATAGTGGTGATGTATATGGCAAGAACATGTGGCTGCAGCTAGAGCATACTCTCACACAAGCACAAGTATTTTTTGACAAGGTGTTGGCGAAGAAGCCAAGGAGTGCAGTATGGTTGGATGAGCACCATCCATTTCTTTGGGCAAGAAGTAAGTTTTCACCGACATCAAGTGTGACTACATAAACAACAATCTAGCCGAAAGTTGGAATTCTTGGATCAAGGAGCATAAGGACTCACCTCTGCATTGCATGGCGAGATGCTATAAGGAGAAGATAATGGTGTTGTTTGGCAAAAGAAGGAAGATTTCTCTAGCCTTGCCTCGGGTATATTACTGCTTGTCATTCTTCAAATTGAATCTTGCCTCTAGGGACTGGGACACATGAACATTACAAAAGGTCACCCAACCAAGTGAAGTGACAGAGGTTTACAAAGATGAAGATGTAAGGAGACATGTTGTATACTTACCTCGAGAAAATTTGCACTTGTAGGCGAAGGCGCTAATCGGTAAACCATGTCCACATGCACCGACTTGTAATTACAAGCATGAGGCAACTGACATGGGCTCATATGTGGACAATTGCTACTCGGTGGCTAAGTTCCAAGCGACTTATCTTGGAATAATACCAAGCATAACTGATAGGAATCAATGGCTCAAGATAAGAAGGGCTACAAAGTGCATGCTCCAAAGACAGAGAAAGAGAAGAAAAAAAGCACGGAAGGTTGAGGATAAATAGGATTAAACCAAAGAAGTGAGACAGAGGCGAGAGCTACTAGGCAAGTGCAGTGCCCAAACTGTAAGGAGTATGGTCACAGGGCTACTAGCTCCAAGTGTCCCCTCAATGGGACTAAGAAAAGGTGCCCTCTCACTGTAAGATGTAACATGCATTAACCTTTTATTTTCTGTCTAAACTAACAAGTGCTTATTAACTTATGCAGGAAAAGAACTAAGAAGAAGATTGCCAAGGTTGGGAGGAAGAAGACCAAGACAAGTGCAGATGGTGATGATGCACCCACTCCAAGGACAAGGGGAGCACCTGGCTAGGGAGGCAGAAAAAGAGCAAGGAGGATGCGTAAGAAGTTTGAACTACTTGCAAAGAAGACAGAAGGAAAAAGGCGTAAAGCGGCAGCTAGGGGAATTAGCCGAGGCTACTACAAATGAATATGAAGCACATTTGAAGAAGAAGCGAGTATCATCCATGATCCCTTTAGCCATGTTGCCCCGCAGATCCATCTATAGTCAAAAAATGACAAGAAGGTGATCATGCAATCTTGTTTAGGCTCTTTGGATTGGAACTATTCCCGACCATAAATCTTCTTGTGAGTTTTGTTCCATGACAGGCACTTTTCCTAGAAGAAGAGCTACATCTTTGGACTGTGAAGAAAATGACACCCAAAAAGAAGAAGTTGGCAACCAAAGCGAAGAAAACTCTACCACTAAGAAGAAAGGAGGCAATTGGAATGGCAAGGGCAAGGGCAGGGCCAAGTGACCAATCTCGTTATTTTGAACTTTGTGTGAAGTACTTTGTCATGTAATCTGTGTTATGGGCACAAAATTGATAGCATTTGGCCCTATTTGGATGTGAAAACATCAAAATCATGAACTTATGTAATGGCTCTTAGTTAGCCACTATCTAATGCCAGGATCATGAACTTATGTAATGCCTATGTGCATTATTGCTCTAGTCTGTTTATTTGTTGTTGTTTCAATGATCCTTGACTGTCATTCATAATATGCTAATTTTGCCATCTCCAAATTGTTGCAGTCATTAACCAAGAACAATCACAAAATGATAAAGGACTGCAACTGATCATTCACATATTATGAATGAGTGGGCCGAGCGACTGGCCGGCCTGCTCAGCCAAGTGAAACCAGAAGGTGGGCGCGGTGTCGTCTTTTCCCGTGTGGGGGCTGACCACGGATCCAGCGTGTCGTATGGATGCGGACTGCCACGTCGGAAAAAGTGGTAAAACGGCAAGAGGCCAATCTTAAGAGTGATGGACTTGAAAGACCAGCCCTAAGAGTGCCAAACCGGAAAGCGCCATCCGTAATAATGGTAAAAGTGAAAAATCCCCTCCCAAATCTACCTACCGTCGGAATCGGCGAGCACGGTCTGGTAGGCGGTGACCTGCCTGCTCGAGTAGAGTAGAGGCACCAGCGGGCGCCAGTAGTGGCTTGGTGCTCGATTTCCTCACACACGCCGGCACGGATGGGAGGGAGCCGGTTGATGCCAGAGAGCTTTAATTTGACAGGCTCTTTACACCAATGACTTCCCTGATGTTGTTGGAGTTGGACATTAGTCGAAGTCCCTTGTGTACAGAATTTGTTCTTTGTTTTTGCTATGTATGCAGAGAGGAAATAGGAAGAAGAAAGGGGTATTGTTGTCTTTTGTTGAAACTTTAACGGTGTTAGCCCTCCCTCACTAAACCAAGAGACCATCACAACATATGCGTACTTTCTGTCCCAAGTCCAGTCAAAGTCTCCTCCCTCACCATTTCCCCAGCGAGCTCCAGCTGCAGCACAACATCAGGTGCGTAATAGATCCGCTTTCAATCGATGAGGCCTAACTAAACATCATGTAGCTGAATTACTTCATAAGCTGGTTTAGATTCTCCTAGTCTGATTCTGGCAGAGCTCTTATCGTAGGTGTATTGTAGTGTAGTACTACTCTGTTTTGGAGTCTTCTGCCGTGCTGCTCATCTAGATCCAGATCTCCAAGCTCACTATTTGGTCATCAGCTCTTTACCTTATTCATTTGGCAACAAACTCCTTTTGATCGGTTTGCATCTTTCCGAGGGACTTTACTCAATTATTTTTTGTCACGAATAAGGTAAAGATTTTTTCCCCACTTGATTCAGCCCACCATTGATTGGTTTTTAAAGAGTATCTCCCACCAGGGCTTATCTCAGTTCATCAGTTACATCCCCCTCCACATAACACAATTTCATCTTCTTCCTCTTTCCTCTCTGCATATACAGCAAAAACAAAGCTTGTTTCTAATGATTCATCCTCTCTGCATATATAGCAAAAACAAAGCTTGAATTAAACAAAGCTTGTGTCCCTTGTACACAATTTGGGCTTATCTCAGTATATTAGTTTTTGATCCACAAAGCTTGTTTCTAATGATTTATCCTTGTCGCAACTTTTTATTTTCAGGGGTTATAAAGGGTGAATATCAGTGGTCATACCGATGTATCAGCACTGCTATAATTTCTTTGGAAGTGTTCACTACATATAACCTCTTCATTTGTGTGCTGGACTCTCAAGGTAGTACTGACTTTTTTTGAAAATAAGGTAGTACTGACTAGTAATTTAATGTTAGTATTCTGCATCTATATGATATATTTAGTGTAAAAAGTGCTGCAAACAATATTAGATATGCTAACAAATGCTATTTACTGTCAGTTGAAAAGAAGGCTGTGGTCATCTCCCCTGCTATAAGATGCTCCTTAAGTTTTATGTGCTCTCTTGTCAGTTTTATTCTGCCCATCGTCTGTATGTGCAAAGGTGGGTGCACTTCATCTCCACACCACTAGGAACCATCAGCGCCTAACAACCATTGTGATCGATGGAGGACCCGGGCCTGTTAAGTGCATTTCTAGACAACCTCATGTCGAGATTGTTCTCGCTAGCAGAGGAGAAACACAAGCTGTACAAGGGCTTTGAAGGAGATCTGGCTTTTCTGAAGAGTGAGCTTAAAATGATCGCTAGTGCCATTGATGGGCAGCTCTTGGGGCAGGATGATCACATACTGCGTTTGTCCATTGAAGAGTTGCGACAATTAGCTCATGAAATGGAGGACTGTATAGACCACATCGTGTATGATGCATCTTGGGAACAGCAACAACCATGGTACTGTAAAATGGTCAAAACTGGGAAGAAGAGAAAATCACGTTCACAGTTAGGCGAAGAGATGCAGCAACTAAGGTGCAGATTGGAGGAAGCACTCCAACGGCAACAGAGGTATTCAGTGTCCCGTCCATCCACATTCCAGCCAGCAGAATCATCCTTGAATCAGCATATCCTTCCGGCTGATTTGGTTGGCATCAAACCACCCCTTGAGGAGCTTCTGGGGCAGTTGGCAGAATTTGAAGGTCAACCCAAGCAGTTGAAAGTGATCTCAATAGTTGGCTTCTGCGGATTGGGGAAGACCATCCTTGCCAGGGAGTTGTACAACAGCATGGTCGGCAAGCAATTTGACGAAAGGGCATGGGTTTCTGCAGTGCATGGGGATCCAAGCAAGCTCTTAATAGAGATACTCAAGGAACTGCATAAACCACCACCGGATACCTCCAATGTCTACCAGCTTAGTACTGATCTAAGGAACTTCCTAAATAACAAGAGGTAAGAAATTTTCTACCACCCCTTAGACAACAGAAGACAGTTGCCTACTTAATAATTTTATGAAAATCTTTCTCTAAAGCCAACTGTAGACAGCATGCAGAGACTTTAGTTATGAGAAAGAGATCATAGTCACATAGTTTTGTGGTACAAAATGTATTTGCGTATTCACAAATGATTTAGTAAAATTATTCAAATATGTACGTAATTTTGCCTACAGATCTTATAAAACTAAGGAGATTAATAAAAGAACTGCAAAAGCCACTCTTGGAATTCTGGCCTCCATATATACTGCACATGCTAATATATATACCACAATAAGGAGCAGTTACTCTTTTTAACTGTAGAAAACATGTATTTATTTCTGAAGGAGAACGATGCCAAATGAAAATAAATGATTACCTTTCCTTCATGCGTTGATCACTATGGTGTTGGAGGTTCTTGTTGATTTGTGTATTCTCATTTCACAATATTCCAGGTATTTCATTGTAATTGATGACATGCGGTCAGATCAATGGAGTACTATAAAGTCTGCCTTTCCTCGAGATGGTAGCAGCAGAATATTGGTGACAACGAAAATCAAGTCAGTGGCTAATACTTGCAGCTCTACCAACGGCTATATTCACAAAATGAGAAGACTTGACGAGAAACATTCAAAGCAGTTATTCCTGAAGGAAGCTTGTCCGGTGGAATATTCAGAGTACATGGGGCCTGATCTGGCAGCAATTTTGAAGAAATGTGATGGTCAACCACTCGCTCTGACTACCATTGGCCAATTCATGGGAAAAAAGAGTTGGCCAACAGGACATGACTGTGAAGATGTGTGCAACCAGGTATGGTTTTACCATCTGCAGAGTGGTGACGATACTTTGGACAGAATGCATCAGGTGCTGATCCATGACTACACCAGTCTGCCTAGCCATGCTCTCAAAGCTTGCTTTCTGTATTTTGCTATGTTTCCAAGTGATCATCCAGTAAGGGCGAAAAGGCTAAAGAGGCAATGGTTAGCTGAGGGATTTGTGCGGCCAACAAATTTATGCACTGACCTTGTAGCTGAAAATTTCGAGAAGCTCTTGGACCAGAACATCATCGAACCCATTGATGTGAGCAACAACACAATTGTGAAAACATGCAAAACTTATGGCATGATGCATGAGTACATTACGCTCAAGTCTCTCTATGAAAACTTCGTCACTTTGTTCGATGGAGGGGGGCTCCAACCTAAAAATGCCCGTCGTGTTTCTCTCCGTCACAACACTATTACAGATGGTGCCACTTTGAACATTGATCTCTCTCTTGTCAGATCTCTGATAGTATTTGGGGAGGCAGGTAAAACTATGTTGAATTTCAACAAGTACCAACTGCTAAGGGTCTTGGACCTTGAAGACTGTACAGACTTGCAAAATGATCATCTCACAGAAATATGCAACCTATTGCTTCTTAAATATCTGAGCCTAGGAGGAAATGTTACCATCCTTCCCAAAGAGATAAAACAACTGAAACTTTTGGAGACACTCAACCTAAGGAGAACGAATGTAAAGATACTTCCAACTGAAGTTATTCAGCTGCCCCATATAATTCATCTCTTTGGAAAATTCAAGCTTCCAGATAAAGCCATAAATGATGAACTGCAGAAATTTCTTACTTCAGCAAAATGTAAAGTGCAGACACTGGCAGGATTTCTTGTAGATGAAAGTGACGGATTTGCAGAACTTATGGGTCATATGAAAAAATTGTGGAAGGTAAAGATCTGGTGTGAGTCATCTGCAACTAGTAGTAAATTGACCACTCTTCAGAAGGCCATACAGGAGTTCATTCATGACGACAAGGATGCAAGCAATGATCCTCGTTCTTTGTCACTCCATTTGGACGGATGCTCTGAAGACTTTCTGAAAGAATTGAAAGCTCCCTGCTATCTCAGGTCGCTGAAATTACAGGGCAGGTTACTGGAACTCCCTGGGTTTGTCACGGCACTGCGCCGACTCAGGGAGTTATGCCTTCAGTCAACTAAACTTACAGCAGATCTTCTCTCAGCTTTGACAAATTTGAAGCATCTGCAGTACCTGAAGCTGATTGCTGATGAACTTGAAGAAATCACCATTAAGAACAAGGCATTGCCAAGGCTGCTCTGCCTATGTTTTGTGCTGCAGCGTCCAACGTTCCCAAAGATCGAAGAAGGCGCCTTGCCATTTCTTGAATCTCTTCAGCTGCTTTGTAAAGATATGGATGGCCTCTATGGAATCCAGATTAAAGGTTTCACACGACTGAGGGAAGTAACACTCGATATAAGAGTCACCAATGGTACTAAAGTGAACTTGGTGAGGGCAGCTAAGGAACATCCGAACAAACCAAAAGTTCTTCTGCTCAAAAGACCTGTAACACCTGAAGTTTATCTTGGAGGAGCTTCTGCTTCATTTGGGACAACTGAGAATGAAATTGTAAATTGCTCTGTTCTGTCAGAGGAACTAGTACAGGAGACTGACACCCAAATGCCACATGATGAGCCGAGGGAACAAGTACAGGAGACTGACACCCAAATGCCACATGACGAACCAAGGGAACGAGTACAGGAGACTGACACCCAAATGCCACATGATGAACCGAGGGAACAAGTACAGGAGACTGACACCCAAATGCCACATGATGAACTGAGGGAACAAGTACAGGAGACTGACACCCAAATGCCACATGACGAACCGAGGAAACGAGTACAGGAGACTGACACCCAAATGCCACATGATGAACTGAGGGAACAAGTACAGGAGACTGACACCCAAATGCCACATGACGAACCGAGGGAACGAGTACAGGAGACTGACACCCAAATGCCACATGACGAACCGAATTCTGTTTTCAGTAATAAAGGACATCTGGTGGTTTGTGCCGCTGGTTCGTCCATTGCTGGCAATGGCACAATGGCTTCTTAATTCTTCATTTCTTTCATGAGTGACAAGGATTCGGATCCTCCAGCATGGTCAGCTTTGTGTCCCTTCTCTTTTGCATATCATGTCCAGCCATATTTTTACTTATAAACATCCAATATACAATGGACTTGTTTAGATCCATTAGGACTAATAGTTACACCATCCGTTCCAAATTACAGGTCACTCTAGTTTTATCCTAAGACTTTTTTTTGTCTTTGATCAAATTTTTGGAAATATATATTAACATGTAGAATACAAAATAAATGCAATATTGAAACAATTTATGATGGATTTAGTTAAAATAAATTGATGTGTCAAACGTGTTGGTATATTTTTCTATAAACTTGGTTATACACTTAGAAAAGCTTGAGTTAGGCCAAAACTAAAGTGGCCTACAAATTGGAGTGGAGGAAGCCGCTGCTAAAAATAGCACTAATAGATCCAAACACAGCTAATATTAGCCAACCACCTAGCTAATGGTTATCTCACTAGCTACCAAAACCTAGCTAATTTCAGCTAATAGATGGCCAAATGCCTATTTTGCACTCGCAGCAGTCCTTGTCACCCATCAAGTGAACGGTGCCATAGCAGTAAAAGATGCAAGCACATTATGGATAATCCAACCACCTTAAGATGTTTAGATCCAAACAACCCCATTACTAATAGTTATCTAACTGGTAGTTAGGGAATTTGGTGTTTCTATCCCTGTTGTACAGGCTAATGGTGATTTTACTCTCTCTTTTTTTAACTTTGTGATTTTACCCTCACGTTTTTGTTTTGAATCTGCCGTTAGCCCCTTCTTTGGGATGCCGTTAGTGGCTGGGATATTAAATAAATAAATAGAAAAAGGGATTGAAACAACAGGAAAGTACCAAAATATCCCTTATCCTTATCTTCCACCCCATGCCTCACCTGTTCAGCCTAGATGATTCATGTTGCGACAAACTTGATTTGGATACTGGTGAGGTCCAATTGTAATATTGTATGGTGGCGAGCTCGATTTGGATGGTGGCGTCCTACAGAGAACTAATTCTTATTCGTCACTCTGACCCGCTTCTTGTTCTAGAAAAGCTTCATTTTGTGAAAAGCAAACTACTCTAGTCATTGGATCCCAAATTTCATGTTTGGAAATCTGCTCAACTTCATTAAAGCCTGTTCCGTCTGAGCCTCATTTTGCATTGGTGTTATTTAGTATTTGTTGGATCCAATGTGAATTGACCTAATTTTTTAAAGTGTGCTCAGATTTAAAAAGCATGCAAATTGTATCGTGTACTTGCAAAAATCGTCGTCAAATATGTAAAAAAAAATGTCTAACCTTTCATGCCAAAATAAAGGTAAAATCACAAAGGAGTAAGAGAAGCAAGGGCAAATTTGCATGGCCAGAAATAGTCATTTGATACGTCAGATGACACTGTTAGAAGGACTTAACAGAGTAGGGGCAAACTCTAGCTTTGATTTCAAAAAACAGGGGCAACATCATAGAGTTGAAAAAACGAGGGCAAATTCACCATAACCTTCGAAAATAGGGGCATGAACACAAAAGCCCCATTCTATATATGCTATCTTTAGGAGTAGGGATGAAAACGGTCAGAAACGGTCGGAAAACCCTCAACTGTTTTCTACTTCTACATTTGGATACGAAAACGAAAGTGAAAGCAGTAAAGCTAGACACGAAAATGAACACGAACTTACGGAATATCGAGAATTTTGAAAACGAACCAAATCGAGCGGAATTATGTTGAACACGGTCGGTATACGTAAAATCAATACGGAATACCGACCCATAGGACAAGTTGTAACCCCCCTGTGTTTTCCTCATGCTAAAATTCGCTAAAAAAAATTGAAGTTTTTAAAATTTTACAACAAATTAAAACTTGGTGAGCTTATTTTCTGCAAAACTGATTTGAAAATCTTTTTTCCAAAAACCTTCCATTAAAATCACCATATGCATTTCGTGTGTTGATGTGCTTTATGGAATTTATTTGTGGCACCAAAAATATTTACCTTGAATCTCCAACCCAAACCCCTTCCTAGAATTCAAATCAAATCACTTCAAATCCCCCTCCTTGATTTTCTTGGAATTACAAAAGTTGTCACAAAAATACAAAATCCATTTTGGGCTAATTTATCCTCCCTCCTCTCCCTACGCTTGGCAAAACAGCTCACTTGCCCTGATGGCCGCTCAGCATGGCAGGCTGGCAGCAGCCAACTCGCACGCTGCAAGCTGCAAGCGCCAGCCGCTAGGCGCCCTTCTCAATTTAGTCCCACCTCGCTTAGACAGATGGGAGTGAGGGAGCCTATGGTCTATATAATTACAACCAGGCGCATACTCGAAGCCACTGCATAGCACTCCTTGCCTCGCCTGCCTTGATTGTGGGCTGTCTAGATTGGAATTCCTATTGGGCCAAAAACGGGATATCCTGAATAAAAAGCGGAAAAGTAGAAAACGGTCAGAAAACACCTAAACCGTTTTCGAATTTGGCATACCGTATTTTGTACCGATTTCGAATTTGTCCAAAAATACGAATTCTAGCAGATCAAATGTAGAAAACGATGCGGGACGGTACAGGATGTATTCCGACCGTTTTCGTCCCTATTTAGGAGTACCGGCACCACCTAATTACCTAGACAAAAACACATAAAACATGACTCCAAAATGATTATTATGACTTAAAGGTAACTGCATGTTTTGGGGGCGAGACTGATCCCTATTTTCAAGGACCAAAACTGAACCAAATTTGACAATAAAATTTGTGTTGCATCCGAATGGTTAAGATATTCCACTTCCAGTGCTATATAGAGTTCCAAATTCAGTTTTTAATCTGCAGTTAGGGCCTGTGTGGGTGGGTTGGGACTTGGGACTAGATATGACAGGATATAGACTTATAGAGGGAGGTTACATAATTTCCCTTTAAATACGATGGTATTGGTTCTGTTAGCTATAATCCTGTGTGTCCATGCATGTGTCTGCCGACTTCTCCTGAGTTACACTGGTTAGACCTTTGAAGTCCGGGGGTCAATGAAACCCCTGTCACCAGTCCAGGTTTGAAGGCTGGCACAAACTACTTAAGGGCAAAATCAGGGGGTCGTCTCTCCCCATGGTCGAGTCTTTGTCCATGCATGTGTCCAGGTTCATGATGTCTAGGTGCAGTCTTTAGTACTAGCAGATTTTCAGCTAGTAATTAAGGAGAATAATAGGAAATTATAGGAGTTATGCCTGCAGTAATTAGGAGGATATCATGGACAGGTGTATATCAGCTATATATATGAGAAAATGGTTAGCGCTGAGAGCCGCATCAACCAAAAGAAGAGAGAAGGGAGTGATTTCCTAGTGTGTGTTTTTGATAAACACTGAAGACATATGGAGTGATTTCCATGTGTGTGTTTGTGATAAACACTGAAGAAAGAGAGGAGGTCATTTCCAACAGGCTCTACCAAATAAACAAGAGATTATTGTCTATATAGCAAATGTGCTTCTGTCAGTGTGAGTATCTTCTCCATACTCCCTTAGTCCCAAATTAAATCAACTTCTAGAGTTGTCTTATGTTAAGCTATTTTAAGTTTAACTGACTTTATAGAAATGAGAACAAATATTTACAACACCAAATTAGTATCATTTAGATGCACCATGAAACATATTTTCATACTATACTTATTCGGTGTCATATATGTTGTCCTGTTGATAGTCTTCGTTATAAGGTTGGTCAAACTTAATATAGTTTGACTTAGGACAACTCTAGAAGTTGATTTATTTTGGGAAGAGGAAATAACTTAGGGCATGTTTGGATACAAGGGCTAATTGCTAGCTAGCTAAAAATTAGCCAAAATTGGCTCTAGTGCATCAAACAAGAGGGCTAATAGGTGGGCTAATTTTTTAGCCAAATGTTCAACTAGTTGTTAGCCTGTCATTGATATAGTTAATCTGCACCCTGTCATTGATAGTCCCAAACAAACAATTGGTCAGACTTCATGTGGACTCTAACGAAGAAGAACATAAACACACCTGTGATATGGCGCAAATACTAGTCCGCTCTGTACTGAGTACTGACAGCACAGTCCTTGTTTCCTGAGCACTTCTTGATTGGTCTCGTGTTTCCTATCGAAAACCATGATCATTTGAAGGAAAACTACAATGTTCATAGAAATTGCTTTGGTTATTCAGTAGTGATGTAAGCTACCTTTGGCACCTGATGTCACCAAATAATGTTAACCAAACTATTAAGTTGTAAATCACTGTGCTTTTGTATTCAATGTAATTGCCACTGTTTTTTTTTTTTCCAAAACACCCATTACTTGTTTGGATTTAGGGGTATGGGCTTGGGCTACTGGTTTCCAATTGATGATTAGGACTATCCCACTTCATGTGCAAGTTGTAACCCTGCCCCCTATCAGAAATAACGTATAAGCGGGGATTCTTGTTTTAATCTTATAAAAAAAATTATTCTAGAATTGGTAATTTTTATCTTTGTAGCTACCTGGATTTCTTAGTACTACAACAAAATAACTGCAACCTAATAAATACATGAGAAAATAAAAATTACTACAAATTGCTCGTCATACTTTTACCCAAAGATAAGCCGCTATTGTTTTATGATATCCATTTCTGTTTTGCAGCATAAGGTGAACCATTCAGTTGAGGATTCTTGTTAGTGGGTAGAGTTGCTACTTCAGTTTGTCAGACAACAGTGAAGAATGTTCCATTTCATGATGGGTGGAATAAAAAGGAAAAGCTATTTATGTGGACACGAGCTGAACTGTGCTCCTGATGCAAGTCATTAAATCTCCTCCATTACTGAACCTCTGAACTATCTCATCTAATAATTTTATTTTACTCCTGCTGTCTAAATGGCTCCACTTTTGAGTCATGGCTACAATCCTTTTCGCATGAGATTGTATCTGAATTTAGTACTCAGGTCAAATGGTATGTACACGCAAGTGGTGTAATCATGTCCTTCTAGATCAGGAGTCTTTCCTGCGCATTGCTGCAGGTCTGAACTTTGTTTTCCCTTTAGAATCTGTATAATAAATGAAGATGGATCCATTGATGATTTGCTCAAGAGGTTCGTGATGAACAGATGACATTAGAAAAGCTTGACACCTTCTACGGATTACTAATCACTGCAACATAATCATGAGTTACGAAATTGGAAAACATTGTGCTTTGCTGGGGCAAAGCCGGCAACGATGGCTTAGAGATTTGTTCTGTTCATTTGGGAGATGGTTTACGGTTCAGTAGTGTTTGATTGGAACCAACGCAAAAGGAATCACACCGGAGAGATCAGAGATGGGAGTGGGCAATCACCTGAGTTCCAAACCATGGGGGTTCAGCGTCGGAGCGATGCGGCACGCTTGAACGCCTGTCGTGCCAGTCCCCTGCTCCCAGCCCGCATCATGTCAGTGGCTCACCCCATCGTCCCTGCGACTTCCTCTTCCTCCGTGCGTGTAATGCCGACGCCACCGAGCGACGCGCCGACGCCCCTCTCCGTCGTCTCCTCCTCCGGTTTCGACAGCCCCTTTGAGAGAGGGTTTCTTCTCCAAATCCTCCAATGCTAGAGCTCCTCCGTCTCGACACCTGAAATTCTTTTTTGCTGTGGAGCAAAGGGCAACTACAGGTGCAGAGCCTGCAAGCGGTGAAGAGACCTGATAGCGGCGCAACCGCGCGCAAGTCCCCAGTCCCCCCAGTCCAGCAGCCCCCAGCCTCCCATGGCCCAGACTCTCGACGTTGCCATCTCCGGTAGGCTGGTAGCTGCAGTTGCAAACTTGCAACACTAGAGCATTTTTTCTAATACAAAAACATCGAATGAGAATCCAATGTCGAAATTTCTTTATTTGTTAATATAAACTACTACAACTTAGATTACAAGCATCATCTGAAAAATGTGTAGCCTAAGGTACATGAATTCAACATTATCCAATTGTTTCGATAGATTTTCAAACAAAAAAGTCAGCATTGTATTTCAATAATAAATTAGAAGAAGAGCTGAACCTTTCCCTAAACTTAGAATCACCAGTCAGCACACTGCAGCCAATGTATCACCAATATGATTTTCTTCCATTCTCATATACGACATAGTGTTAAGCCGATCAAACATGTGATGATATGGGAATCAATAATATCTATAAGGCACGTAAAAAAATTCAAAATACATGGAGATGCTAGTTTGGTCATAACATCATTTGCATGAAGTTCAATACAGAAGGCAAATGTCTCGAACAAACAAGTATTATTAAAGCAACTGAACCAACACAATGCATATATGGGTCTAACGAAGATACTCAAGGCAAGCGTTTCGAGTCTGTAAAATCCAGATATAACAATTCATGACTTAATGGAAGAAAAAGGGATTAAAACGTACAAAAAACATAGTTCTTTCAGAGACACACCATACAAGCATAGTACTGCAGAAATAACCATCTGGCTGTCCCCCATCCTAGACGCGAATCTCTGGAACATGCTGCATCTTCTGGTGCATCCCATTCATTAGCCACTGTGGTCTAAACTCCCCGTGCAGGTAGAGAAGCCAAAGCTTCTTGAGGGAGAGAAGGGATTCGATGCCTTGAGGGACCTTATCCAGCTGCGCTAGGGACATGATGTACAGACCTTCGATGCATGGAAGAGCACCATGTCCAATCTCCAGCCGCTCGACGTCAGGCATTTTCTTCAGGACGAGTGTTTTCAGGTGAGGAAAGCACCCTGCAGAAAGAACCAAAGTGCTTGCACTATTCACCCTGTTAAAGCTCAAATAAGTGAGGTTTGGCACGTGTGGAGCAAGGACCCCCAATGGATCTTCACCAAGCTGACACCAGCTAAGCGCTAAATATTTTAGATGTTTCCCATGGTTGCGAAATATTGGATATTCCAGAGTCTCATCAGCCCAGCGCCCCCTTACAATTAGTCTGTGGAGCTTGGGAAATTTCGGTGCAAGGGCTTGGAGGCAAAGTGTCTCATTCACATCACTTGCAGAGATTAGGAGGCTGGAAAGAAGTGGCATTGTCGAAATGGTCGCAAAAAGATTAGCGCAATCTTCAGCACTAACATTGTCGATCCATATGCTTCTGAGTTGCATCAGTTTCTTCAGCTGTTCAGCCAAGTCTTTGCTCGCCTGCACTGTCTCAAGAGTCTGTAGTTCTTCAAGGTTCAGCAGACCTTTAGGTGCTTGCACTCCAATGAAATATCTGAACTCTGACTGCTTCTCATCTGCAAACCTGTCAGCCAAAAGGTGCCTTAGTTTCTTGACCTTAATAATCCCTCGTGGCAGCTTTTCTATTTGAGTTTGTTTAATGTCCAGAGTGTGGAGGTTGAAGAGCTTCTCGATGGACTCTGGGAGTGACTTGACTTTGGTGCGCCTTAACCCAATATACCGAAGGTTAAAGAGGTTTCCTATAAATGCTGGCACCTCAGTGATCTCAGAATCTTGCAGCTCAAGAACTGTCAAATAGCTTGATTGAGACATAATTGAGGACAACATGTCAGGGGAGAATGAAATTATTCCCTGGGCAACAAGAGTTCGAAGACATGGAAATTGAACCTTAGGTGCCGCATTGACATTCCACCCACATAATGACAAGCGACGGACATTCTTGTCCACCTGTACCAGTTCACCATATTCGTTTGCGGAACCAAACTTCTCTTCTTTGGCAACACAAAGTGCCAGGTCCCGCATGATATCATGCATCTTGCAAGTGCTAACCCTGCCAAGCTCATCATAGTCTACAACTTCAAGCATATTACGGTGGATCAGTTCCATGAGATTTCCCTCAGCCACTTCCCCTGGTGTATTCTTCTCTTTGCTCAGAACAAAACCTTCTGCAACCCAAAGCCGCACAAGGGTTTCGCGTGACATGGGGTAGTCTTCAGGAAACAAGCTGCAATACAAGAAGCAATTTCTGAGGTCTCCAGATAGATCATGGTAGCTTAGATTTAAGATTGCTCGGACATGATCGTTGGTTGACAACTCACTCCGAAGCTGGTTGTATGTTTGATTCCAAATGTTTATTTGTGGTCTTGATGACAACAAGCTGCCAATTGTAACAACTGCTAGCGGCAGGCCATGACACCTTTTCACTATTTCACCAGCAATTTCCTGAAGCTCCTCGGGGCATTTGTGGTCCTTCCTGTTGTGAAAAGCCCTTCTACAGAAAAGTTCAAATGCATCAGGCCCACACAACGGTTGGAGCTCAAGATGGTGGTCAAAGGAAGCAATAGCACCAACATGGTCCTTTCGTGTTGTAATGATGATGCGGCTTCCTTGGAGCGCCTGGAAAGCATCATGTATTTTGAAGTATACTTCTTGCTCCCAAACATCATCCAGTACAATCAAGCATTTTCTATTTTGGAGTTTTCTCTTTATTTCTTCCTTCAAGTCATGTACATCCATTTTGTCAATCTCTCTTGGCACTGGTGGTTCCAAATGCCCAATCTTCCAGAGTAGCTTTCTCAGCAGAGATTCGACTGTGTAGATCTGTGACACAACGATCCAAGCATGTACCGGGAAGTTGACTTTTTCACGTTCATAAATATTTGTAACCAGTGTAGATTTTCCCAGCCCACCCATACCAGAAACAGTTATCACAGTGCTTCCCAGCTCTTCTGAGTAAACCCATACAGTCAGCAATTTTCTATTTTCTTCAATTCCTACTAGATCTTCATCTTTGACAAATTCTGGGAAGCTATCTTGGGAACGCTGTCTTTCAAACTCAGCGAGTTGGTCGGGGTGAGGGACAAGCTGGGATGGCTGCAACCATTGCTCCTTCATCTGAATAACTTGCTGGATCTCCCCTTCTATCGCAGCTACCTCATCAGCAATGTCACTGAAAACAATGGCATAGTGTGTACCCTTGACGAAATACTTCTTCAGGAACCCTTCTTCCTCTAGTTGAAGAAGATGGTATGAGTACTTGTCTACTACATCCTCAACACGGTAGGCCACCTTCCGGACCTCCCCAATCCAACTCTTGACAAGCTCATCTGTAAGGTAGACTGTGCCAATCTGCTGTATAATTTTGCCCATGAATATCAGTTTCATCTTTATTTGACCCACTTTCCATGGAAGTTCCTTCAGAGCTTGAACTTTTTCAGACAGCTTATTTATAAGGGCATTGGCGGGTCCATCCCCTAGAGCAGAACCAATCTTAGTGACAGCAAGGAGCACTGCTTCTGCCATAAATTTTTGCTGAACAATAAAGACACAGTTTGTCATGTTGTAGGTAAAGCAAATTTGAATTGAAAGATATGAGCTGAACTCATAGGTAAAAAAAAAATCCCCCTGGTCCCCAGCGATTCTACTCTGCCTCATTATCTTTCAGCAAATGGGGTGTTGTCTCAGCAAAACTTAAAGCATATATGATAGGAAACTTTAAAATATAATGTATCGCACATGCAGTGTATCAATACCATATGCCATTGCCAAATGGACCTCGTCTAATACAATTTGGCATAGAACAGAGAAGTTTTGCTCATTTTCCTGAAGGGGTAACTAAAATAAGTGGAATCTAATACTTTTTTATATATATAATATCTATAAAGATGTAGCAATTATCAGCATCTAGAAATGAAAAATTATGCAACTGCATAATGGATCAAAACAAGGTAAAACTGTAGAGAGAGCCACTTGGTGGCACACTTGGACAGAAGATCCAGTTGCTACCCCATTTTCTAGATACCCGCAACTGTAACATATTGGTTTATTTGCTTCCAGATTTTCTTTAGGCTAAACAGATCTGGGCAACCATGACTAACAATTGATGGCCGTGGCCGTGCTAGTTTCAGATTCAGGGCAATGTTTCGTATTCGTAAAGTTGCTCCCGGGAGAGACTCAATTGATATGCAATTATAAAAGAAGCATCAACTTGCATGCCAGCGAGTATAACACTAGCCTAATAGGATTGCCTGGAACATCAGGGCTACCACCACCGTGTTCAGGAGAGGAAGAACAAAACATAAATAGGGCAGTGTTGGCTAATTTGACTAGCAAATGCGCACCTGCTGGAGGCTTAGTCCAGAGAGGAACGAACGGGAGGACGAATCCGGCAGTGAGACCAAACCTGCGGCATTAAACAAGAGGAGGTGAGCAGGTTAGACGCGGTTAGGGAATGAGAAGGGCAGTTCGGCTATCATGTATCAGTTTCCTTTCAACGCGCGCGCCGCCGCCCCCCGCCCCGCTTGGCCATTCCGGCGCTTGTCCGTAGACCATCGATGATCGATCTCGGCGGCGCATTCCGTCGAGCACATCGCGGGCACAGGATGGCGCAGGAGTTTGGGAGTTGGGATGAACCGTGAACGGGTGGATGGAGCGGAACATGTGGTAGGATGGTCATCTCGTGGGCTAGCCAAGAGCTTGATCCGTTTAATTTGCAGTCAAGATCGAAAGGACAGTGATCTCGACTGTCGAAACAGGGATAGATCTGGTGAACTAGTAGTGTTGACCCGACCGAGATGCAGAGTGTTGCAGACTTTGCAGTAGAGAACAGTGCTAGAACAGAGTCTGCAGACACGACCCGTGACCAATTAACGGCAGAAGCAGAACTAAGGGCCTGTTTAGTTGCCCAAAATTTTTACTTCAAAGTGTCGTATCGAATTTTACGGTACATACATGGAGTACTAAATGTAGACGAAAAAAAAACTAATTATATAGTTAGGTGAGAAATTGCGAGACGAAACTTTCGAATCTAATTAGTCCATAATTAGATACTAATTACCAAATACAAACGACAGCCCAGCAGTAGCCAAACCTAAAAAATTTTGGGAACTAAACGCGCCCTAAGGCCACGTTAGTTCCAAAAATTTTTGGTTTTTGCCCATCACATCGAATCTTTGGACGCATGTATAGAGCATTAAATATAGACGAAAAAAAACTAATTGCACAGTTAGGTGAGAAATCGCGAGACGAAACTTTCAAACCTAATTAGTTCATAATTAGACACTAATTGTCAAATACAAACGAAAATGCTACGATTGCAAAACCCAAAAAATTTCGCGAACTAAACGTGGCCTATCAAAGACACGTCCAACTTAACGGCGGATTATATTCATCATCATCCATGACGCTGCTGAATATAATCTTGATGAGTTGCAGGCAAGAACCCGTACGCACCTGCAGTCGATCGCAGCAGATCTGCCGTGAGAGCTAGCGATGCCTCTCACGCTCGGAGTTCTTCACTGGTGACTGGTGAGGGAGGCACCATGACTTGGAGATGGGAGATGCATATAAGACAGCACAGCACCTAGAGTCTTGCGAACTCTACTGTTTTTTTTTAATTCCTGATGAATTGTCTAGGAAGACCTGGCAAAGTCTACGGGCCAGACCAACCGCTGCTGCTGGTGCAGTCGCCATCGGCACGTTCTCTGCACGTGCAGGCGCCAATGATGTTCGATGCCTTGTGGGTGGAACCGGGTCCTACCACTCCTACCAACAGTTGCTTTCATGAACAACCCCTGATTAGGATGTGCTTCAGTGGCTTAACTGTCAGCAAACCTCACCCTGGAAACCGTCAGCAGCACCGAAGCCCAAGAGGAAGAGAGTAAGCAACATCAAATTGTCTGGGCCGGAATGGGCCTGCGTGTCTTGTAACGAGAAGCTCGAGTCGGCGTGAGGTCCGCTTCGTCGGCCCACTAAGGTTCGATGCTGAGAAGAGAGTCGAAGCGAGTATATGTATTCGGTAGTGAGAGGAAGAGGGGGGAGGAAAACTGCTGCTGTATTGTCTTCCTAGTAGCGAACAAGCACTTCTACCAATATACATCGTTGATTCTGTAATTTCTTCCCTGAGTCCGGCTGTTCCCTGCCGAGGAGGCTAACATTGGTACCAGAGCCGTCGATCCCCGGCCACCGCGCGTGCGGGAGATCCTCCCACCCGCCCATCCCCACTTCACCCGCCTTCAACTTTCCCGCGGCGCCATGGATCCCGTGGTCCACCAGATGTTCGACGATTTGATTCACAGCTTCGACGCTTTCCGCTCCGAGTTCGACGGTCTCAGTGCCCGCCTGGATCGGCGTTTCACCGAGACGGAGGCCGTCTGCTCCAAGCACGACTCCACCGTCGACCGCCGCCTCGACTCCTTGGAGCAGTTCGCCTCCGCCCAGTACACCGCCGCCATCGTCGCCGACAACTGGGGCGGCCACTTCTCCGAACGCGTCAGCGAGCTGGAGGGGCGCGTCCATGATCTGGAGATGGTGTGCTACATTGAGATCCAAGACGAGCGCGACGAGCGGGTCACCGCCCTCGAGTCCGCCTCGGAAGCGTTCGCGGCCTGGCGTCCCTAGATCGAGAGCTCCCTCTTCACCATTCGCTCGGAGGTGGATCGGTTGTCCAAGCTCTGGGATCGATCCAGCGTTGCTCCTAACGATGGATCTCCCGAGCCTAAGGGTATTTTGGAGTTGGTCGTCGGGCGAGCACCTACCGGAGCAACGACCGACTGGCCCAGTGGGCACGGCGTCGCCTCACCAACACGGGATGCGGGGTATGGTTCGGTCACGACCATAGCCCCGTTCCTGGCTAATGGTACATTACCCGCCCCCAATCCTCCTCCGCCGCCGTTACAGTTCCATTCTCCTCCTCCTCCACCACCACTATATCCTCCCCCTCCACCACCGCTTACGTACCCTCCTCAGCCTCCTCCTCCACCGCCGAACCCATACCCGCCACCATACTACCTGCCGCCTCCGTTTCCACCACCGCAATATTCTCCCCATTCCACTCCACAGCACATAGCCCCACATCCCAATTCCATACCCAATTCACATCAGCCTAATTACTTTCCCCACCAAGCCAATCCCAATTTAGGCCAACTCCCTAAGATGTTGTTTCCTCAATTCGATGGGGATAATCCTAAGCTGTGGCTGTCCCGTGCTCGTTCCCATTTTGAAATGTACTCGGTTCATCCAGCGATCTGGGTTCGCGTGGCCACTCATTATTTCACCCATGCCGTAGCTCGCTGGCTTCAGTCTGTCGAGTCTGAAGTTCAGAACATATCCTGGGAGTCATTCTCTAACCTCATCCATGAGAGATTTAGCCATGATCAGCATGAGCTGCTCTTACGCCAGCTTTTCCACATTAAACACACTTCAACCGTTTCTGATTATATCGAAAAGTTCACTGATCTTTTTGAACAGCTCAAAGCCTATAATCCTAACCTTGATAAACTCTACTTTACTACTCACTTCGTTGATGGTTTACGCGAAGACATTCGGTCTGTTGTTATGGTTGCTCGACCCCAAAACCTCGATACTGCTTGCACTCTCGCCTTGTTACAGGAAGAGGCGCTGGACCAAGGTATCCGCAAGGAATTCAAGTGCTCGGAAGCGTCGCCGTTCGCTCGCACGGCAACAATCAAGGGTTCTCTTCCCTTGCCTCTTCCACCTAGGCGGCCCCAAGCTGTTCCTGATCCAGTTGTTGAGAAGCGAGTTCCAACCAAGTCTACTTCCATCGACGACAAGTTGTCCACTCTGCGAAATTACCATCGAGCTCGTGGACTCTGTGTTCGCTGCGGTGACAAGTGGGCCCTAGGCCATCGGTGTGCGCCAGTTCCACAAGTTCATGCTCTTCAAGAAGTCTAGGACCTATGCTCCGAGGCATTCTAGGAAGCTACCGATAGTCCTCTCCAAGATGCTGATCAGCCCACCGATGTTCAGGCTTTCATGATGTTATCCTCTGCTGCGGCCTCTGGTTCTGCTGCTCCCAGGACAATGCAATTCAAAGGATCACTGCTGGGCCGTGACGTCGTCATTTTGGTGGATTCAGGAAGCAGCCATTCCTTCTTGAGTTCCTGCCTTGCAACCGGTCTGCCAAATCTGAGGCCTCTTCCTAAACCAATGACAGTAAGAGTGGCTGATGGGGGCTCTATTCTCTACTCTGTCGAAGTTAGCTGTGCTGAATGGTCAGTTCAAGGCTACAGTTTCCACTCTACTCTGCGCATCCTGCAGTTGGGCTCTTAAGACATGATTGTCGGTATGGATTGGTTAGAGGCCTTCTCACCTATGAGGGTTGATTGGCAACACAAGTGGATGAGCATTCCTTATGGCCAGCACCATGTTGTCCTTTAGGGCCTGTTGCTAGATTCAAATCAGCATTCTATCCTGCAACTTTGTCACATTGCTGCTTCTGCCCCTTCACCGGCACCACCTGAGCTTCCTCCAGCCATCTAGCATCTCATTGAAGAATTTTTCTGAGCTATTCCAAGAACCATCTAAACTACCACCTCGCCGTCAATGCGACCATCATATTCCCTTGGTTCCCGGTGCTCCCCCAGTAGCTATCCGTCAGTACCATTACAAGCCGGCACTCAAGGATGAGATTGAAAAACAAGTCTCCGAGATGCTGCAGTCAGGCATGGTATAGCCAAGCTCGAGCGCTTTCTCTTCCCCGGTGCTCTTGGTCCGCAAGAAAGATGGTACGTGGCGGTTCTGTGTTGACTACAGGATGCTCAACGCCTTGACTGTCAAGAGTAAATTTCCTATTCCAGTGGTAGATGAACTGTTGGATGAGTTGGCCCACGCCCGCTGGTTTTCTTGCTTGGATCTCTGGGCTGGCTTTAATTAGATTCGTCTAGCACCCGGTGAAGAACATAAAACAACCTTCCAAACACATTGGGGTCAGTTTGAGTTTATTGTCATGGCCTTCGGATTGACCGGCGCACCAAATACCTTCCAAGGCGCCATGAACTCCACTCTCTACCCTTTGTTGCGTAAGTGTGCTCTGGTTTTCTTCGACGACGTTCTTGTGTACAGCCGTACTCTCGAAGACCACATTTAGCACCTTCGCCAGGTTTTTACCCTGTTAGAAAGAGACTAGTGGAAAGTTAAGATCTTCAAATGTCGTTTTGCCCAGCAGTCCATTTCATACCTTGGACACATTGTCAGCCATAATGGCGTGTCTACAGACCCCAGCAAGATCGAGTCTATCCAGCAGTGGCCTCAACCACAGAACATCAAAGAGCTCCACAGCTTCTTGGGGTTAGCCGGCTACTACCGTAAGTTTGTGAAGCACTTTGCTACATTGGCCAGACCTCTGACTGATCTTCTCAAGAAGGGATCTATATTCATTTGGACTCCATCTCACCAAGCTGCTATGGATGCTTTGAAGTCTGCCCTTGTTTCAGCCCCGGTGCTCGTCCTTCGGGACTTTAGTAAACCATTTCAGCTGTAGACTGATGCTAGTGACTTGGGTGTTGGAGCAGTCCTGTTACAAGATGGCCACCCACTTGCATTTGTTAGCAAAGCACCTGGCCCCCGAACTAGAGCTCTGTCTACTTATGAAAATGAGTTCCTGGCCATCCTAGTGGCAGTCGAGCAGTGGCGGTCATATCTCCAGCATAGCGAATTTATGATCTTCACCGACCAACGCAGCCTCATGCATATCACTGATCAGCGCATGCAGACTCAGTGGCAGCTCAAGATGCACACCAAACTGGCCGATCTTCAGTACAAGGTCGTTTACAAGCCCGGCACATCCAATTCTGCAGCCGATGCCCTGTCTCGTCATCCCAACCCGCCATCCCAACTCCAAGCTCTATCCACTTCCACTCCGGCTTGGCTTGCAGATGTTACCGCAGGTTATGCATCTGACCCAGAATCTTCCAAGTTGCTCCAGGAGCTGTCTGTTAACTCTCACAGCCACCCACCATTTGCCTTGCATCATGGAGTCATTCGCTACTCAGGCCGCATCTGGGTTGGCAACAACCATCAACTGCAGCAAAACATTATCTCAGCCCTTCATGACAGCGCCCTGGAAGGTCATTCCGGATTTCCAGTCACTTACAGCCGCATTAAGAAGCTATTTTGCTGGTGCGGTATGAAGCAGACCATCAAAGCTTTTGTTGCTGCTTGCTCAGTTTGCCACCAGGCCAAACCAGATAGAGCCCGCTACCCGGGTCTCCTCTCGCCTCTTCCAGTTCCTGCAGAGGCCTGGCAAATGGTATCCATGGACTTCATCGATGGCTTACCACCTTCTGGACACGCCAACTGCATCATGGTGGTAGTGGATAAGCTAAGTAAATTCGCACATTTCATTCCATTACATCATCCTTATACAGCCCAAAGAGTAGCACAAGCTTTCCTCGACAACATCTTCAAAATTCATGGCTTGCCTACTCATATAATTTCAGACCTTGATCCAATCTTTAATAGCCAGTTTTGGCGAGAGCTCTTTCGTCTTGCCCAAGTGACTTTGGCTATGAGCTCAGCCTACCACCCTCAGTCTGACGGTCAGACCGAACGTGTAAATCAATGTCTCGAAACATACCTGCGGTGTTTTGTTCATTCCTACCCAAGACAGTGGCTGAAGTGGCTGCCACTTGCCGAATACTGGTACAATACCAGTTCACACTCAGCTCTGGGAAAGTCGCCATTTAAGGTACTGTTCGGTCGATCTCCTCGTCATTTTGGTATTATCAACTTGTTTGCTTCCCCGTTTCGGACATGGCCTCCATGTCATGCGGGCGCACCATCATCTTGGCCTCTGCTCACAAAGATCTCCTTCGAGCACAAGACGCGCATGAAGCACCAGCGGACAAGAAGCACTTTCGCTGTTCGTTCCAGTCGGTGACTTCGCTTACCTCCGTCTGCAGACCTTTTACGTTCGATCGTTGTTGGCGCCAAGGCTCCCACCACAAGCTATGCTTCAAATACTTCGGTCCCTTCAAGGTACTGTCCCAAGATTGGAGCGGTGGCGTACAAGCCGGAGCTTCCGCCGACGTCTTCAATCCACCCGGTGTTCCACGTCTCGTTGTTGAAGCCGGGCGTCGTCTCATTGCTCCAGGCGATCTCCGCTAGGCTCCCCGACCTCGACAACAACATGCAAGTCCCGGAGCGCGTGCTGCAGTCTAGACTTCATCAACGTGGTACCCACTCCATCAAACAGTTGCTGATCAAGTGGTCCAGCCTCGACGACGACCTTGCTACCTGGGAGGACGCCGACACCATCATGCAGCGCTTCCCTGGTGCTCCGGCATGGGGACATGCCGGCACTCAAGGGGGGAGGGATGTCAGCAAACCTCACCCTGGGGACCTGTCGGCAGCACCGAAGCCCAAGAGGAAAAGAGTAAGCAACATCAAATTGTCTGGGCCGGAATGGGCCTGCGTGTCTTGTAACGAGAAACCCGAGTCGGCGTGAGGTCCGCTTCGTCGGCCCACTGAGGTTCGATGCTGAGAAGAGAGTCGAAGCGAGTATATGTATTCGGTAGTGAGAGGAAGAAGGGGGAGGAAAACTGCTGCTGTATTGTCTTCCTAGTAGCGAACAAGCACTTCTCTGTAATTTCTTCCCTGAGTCCGGCTGTTCGCTGCCGAGGAGGCTAACATTAACTATTATTAAAAATCAACTGGATGTTCTTATCGATTAGGATGTGCTGTAGTGGCTTTATATTTCTGCGACAGTGGAATTATTTTGCGTATATAATATGGACGTTTCATCCGTATTATTATATCTTGTGTGTATTGTCTTTCAGATTTGCATCACTTAGGGCTGTTCAAGATGTCCCAGGCGTTAGATTTTGATATCCTAGGGTTCAGATCTTTGCTCCAAACAGTCCCTTACTTCTTGGCTCTGGTTCGTGGTTCATTTAGGGTGTGTTTAGTTCCAAAAATTTTCGGTTTTTGGCTACTGTAGCACTTTCGTTTGTATTTGGCAAAAATTGTCTTATTATGGACTATTTAGACTTAAAAGATTCGTCTCACAATTTCTCGGCTAACTGTGTAATTAGTTTTTTTTTTCGTCTACATTTAGTACTCCATGCATGTACCGCAAGATTCGATGTGACGGATACTGCGCAAAAAATTTTGGATTTTGGATGAAACTAAACGGGGCCTTAGTACATGTCCTTCTGAAAGGACTCTTCAATTCGGTTAGTTCGTTATTTTATAACAAAAACTCAATATTTTGGAGTTTTCTCTTTATTGCTTCCTTAAGTCATGTACGTCCATTTTGTCAATCTCTCTTGGCACTGGAGGTTCCGTATGCCCAATCTTCCAGAGTAGCTTTCTCAGCAGAGATTCGACTGTGTAGATCTGTGACACAACGATCCAAGCATGTACCGGGAAGTTGACTTTTTCACGTTCATAAATATTTGTAACCAGTGTAGATTTTCCCAGCCCACCCATACCAGAAACAGTTATCACAGTGCTTCCCTGCTCTTCTGAGTAAACCCATCCAGTCAGCAATTTTCTATTTTCTTCAATTCCTACTAGATCTTCATCTTTGACAAATTCTGGGAAGCTATCTTGGGAACGCTGTCTTTCAAACTCAGCGAGTTGGTCGGGGTGAGGGACAAGCTGGGATGGCTGCAACCATTGCTCCTTCATCTGAATAACTTGCTGGATCTCCCCTTCTATCGCAGCTACCTCATCAGCAATGTCACTGAAAACAATGGCATAGTGTGTACCCTTGACGAAATACTTCTTCAGGAACCCTTCTTCCTCTAGTTGAAGAAGATGGTATGAGTACTTGTCTACTACATCCTCAACACGGTAGGCCACCTTCCTTGACGAAATACTTCTTCAGGAACCCTTCTTCCTCTAGTTGAAGAAGATGGTATGAGTACTTGTCTACTACATCCTCAACACGGTAGGCCACCTTCCTTGACGAAATACTTCTTCAGGAACCCTTCTTCCTCTAGTTGAAGAAGATGGTATGAGTACTTGTCTACTACATCCTCAACACGGTAGGCCACCTTCCGGACCTCCCCAATCCAACTCTTGACAAGCTCATCTGTAAGGTAGACTGTGCCAATCTGCTGTATAATTTTGCCCATGAATATCAGTTTCATCTTTATTTGACCCACTTTCCATGGAAGTTCCTTCAGAGCTTGAACTTTTTCAGACAGCTTATTTATAAGGGCATTGGCGGGTCCATCCCCTAGAGCAGAACCAATCTTAGTGACAGCAAGGAGCACTGCTTCTGCCATAAATTTGTGCTGAACAATAAAGACACAGTTTGTCATGTTGTAGGTAAAGCAAATTTGAATTGAAAGATATGAGCTGAACTCATGCAGTCACTCATAGGTTAAACAAAAACAATTCCCCCTGTTCTTGTTGGTTCTACTCTGCCTCATTATTTTTCAGCAAATGGGGTTTTGTGTCGGCAAAACTTAAAGCATATATGACAGGAAACTTTAAAGTATAATGTATTGCACATGCAGGCAACATGTATCAGTACCATATTCAATTCCCAAATGGCTAAATGGACCTCATCAAATATAATTTGGCATAGAAGAGAGATGTTTCGCTCATTTTCCTGAAGAGGTAATTAAAATAGTGGAATCTAATATGTACTTACTCTTTTAGACATAATCTATCTATAAAAAGACATGTAGCAATTATCAGCATATAGTATAAATGAAACATTGCGCAACCAACGGGTCATAACAAGGCAAAACCATATAAAGAGCCAGTGGCAGGACGCGGGACACTTGGACAGAAGATCCAGTTGCTACCCCATTTTCTAGACATCCGTAATTGTAACATATATGTTTATTTGCTTGCAAATTTTCTGAAAGATAAAAAGATCCGGGCAACCATGGAAGGACCATCAATTGATGTCCGTGCTAGTTTCAGATTCAGGGCGACGTCTCCTGAAGTTGCTCCCTGCCTAGTGGCAAGACTCAGTTGATATGCGATCAGGAAAATGAACTCAACGTGTCTGACAGAGAGCATAAAACTAGCCCAATAGGATTGCTGAGAACATGGTCCCTATTGTCCATCAAAATTATCTCATTTGCATCCACAAAAAACAGGGATAGTGTTGGCTCGTTTGTCAAGCCAATGCGCACCTGCTGGAACCTTAGCCCAGAGCGGAACGAGGGGATGAATCCGGCGAACCTGCGGCATTACACAAGAGGACGGAGGAGGTGAGCAGGCAGCGAAAAGTGCAGACGTAAGAAGCGTAAGACGCGGTTAGGCATGAGAAATGCACGCATCTCCGGCTCTCCGCTATCATGTATCCATTTCCCTTCGACGCACGCGCCGCTCTCGCGCTTGGCCGTGCCGGTGCGCAGCCGTAGCCCATTGATCTCGGCGGCGCATTTCGTCGACCAGGCGCAGCGCAGGCACCGGATGACTGGAACTGGATGACGCAGGAGGACGGCAAGGGGTGGGGGAGGGATGGACTGGAAGGATGCTCATCATGTGGGCCAGCAAAGAGCACAAGAGGCTGCCACAGGCCAGAGCACACAGCTGACCGTCTGACGTGCGTCGGTGCGCGCACTGCACTCCCACACTACACTACCGATTGGTATTTAACTAATTTAATTTAGATTTAGGGCCTTTTGGCATGGTTTATGTCGGCTTCGACTTCATCTATTTTATGCAAATCGAGAATCGTAGCGTGAAGCGTTTTAAGTGAAGTTAAAATGAATAGAAGCCGGAAAAAAGCAGCTTTTTCCTGCTTCACCGGTGAAAGCCAAAAGCCGATCAACCGCTTTTGGATGAAATGCCAAATGGGGCTTTAGAAGTCTCGAGACAAAAAAAAACTAATTTAATTTAGAACTCGCCCCTTTAAATTAGAGTTACTTTATTTAGGTTTTTTCTAAGGTAAACTTATATAACTTTGACCAACAAAATAAAAAACACGTCATTAACTACATCATCAAATTAGTTGCATTAAATCCATAATAAAAATATGTCTTGTTACCTGGTAAAAGTTAGAAAAGCTCAGGTTAAGATAAACTATTTCAAACATATAGTTTTCAAAGCATGTATCATTGGTAGATGCGTGTAAACCCATGGTGCAGAAAAAAAAATGTCATAAAAATATACTCTCTCCGTCCCAAAATAATAGATGGAGAAGCAATAATAAATGATACTTATGTTTTTTTTTCCTTCTACATGTATGTATGCTTTTTTTTGCATTGCTATTTATCAGTAGATTAGCTAGAAAAACATTGGAACAAACCGGATGTGTGCCGACCCAGAGGCCGAAGGAAACTCTTTTTTTTCTAAAACATAAAAAAAGAGAAGTCTTTTAACAGTGACATGATTCTCAATGGTGTAAGATTTTTTTTGCATTTTTTAGAAATTCTCTTATTTAAATGTGTCATAATTTTCTAAAATCAAAATAGTTTCTAATTTAAAAAAGTATAGAAAAAAACTGTCTTTAAACAGTGCCTAAGTACATCCTTCTTTTATCTCCGTTCTTTCAACAACCGGTGGTCATGATCAATTGATCGAAGATGATAAAACTTTATTAGCACAACCATAGCAAGCCATTCGTTCAGTGGCTGTCGGCTAATAACCATACCTTGTACAAGTCTACTTCTCATGTCGGCTCTATGGTCGGGAAAGATGGGACGACTACCACGTCTGATCCGCGGACCATCGTAAGCGAAAGCATCTAGGCCTCTAATTAGATTTCGGTGATTAATAACGACACGAAATTACTATGACTAACGTATGTTTTACAGAGGCAATTTTAGTTAGATCATGGTAATAGAAATTGATTGAGCAATCATGGTTGTCATGCCCCTGTAGATGAAAATCGTTTTGATTTTCGAAGGATGGACGACAAGGTTAAGGATGGACTAGTTCTAAGTGTCGTTTGGTGTTGGAGAGACACTTAGAGTAGTTTAGGACTTTATTTTTCCTTTGGCCGTACTATTAAGGGGGGTATGGACTAGTAGCTTGACCTAGGTGAGTCTAATGGATTAGGTGTGGTGCACACTTGTCAAACTTAGCACTACGTAGCTCAGGAATAGCCCTAAGATCAATTGGAGTCAACTTTATTCACATAGGATTTCGAGTTGGAAGTGTATGGAGGGTCAAATGAATGACCGGACGTTGGTCTGGTTGTGACCGAACGCTGGAGGGTGAGTCTGGTCAGTTCATTTGATCAACTGCAGTCGTCTGGCACTGACCGGACGTTGAGTGGAGGAGCACCGGACGCTAGGGTGCCTGCGTCCGGTCAACTCCAGAGAGGTTCTAGAGAGCCTTTTTCTTGACCGGGCGTGTTCGGTTGGTGCTGACCGGACGCCGGGGTGCCTGCGTCCGGTCGACTCCAGTAAGGTCCCAGAAAGGACTTTTCTTGACCGGACGCGTCTGGTTGGTGGACGCTGGTCAGAGTCCGGTCAGAGCTTAACGGATCTCTCTGACACAGTGGCAGGCACAACTGACCGGAGCGTCCGGTCAGCCCGCAGAGTGGTGACTCAGCCTCCAAACGTTATGTTTTGAATGAGAGGATATAAATACTTACTTCATTCGTCCATAGGATGTCTCTTGCTCATTTGTTCAGCTAAGAAACACCTTTGGAGTGAAAGGGAGAGCAAGAGCCTAATGAGATGATTGAGATTTGATAATCCAAGATTAAGGACCTTATTAGTGCATGGAGAGTAGCAAGTGTGCATCCACCCTTCTCATTAGGCTTGTCTTGGTCAAGTGAGAGTTTGTGCTTGTTACTCTTGCTGATTGCCATCACCTAAACGGCTTGATGGTGATTGGGAGCTTGGTGATCATCTGACGGAGCTTGTGTATGACCCAAGTCATGTTGTGAGCGGTTGTGAACGATTCACCACGACGGAGTGTCAAAGAATCAGCCCGTAGAGAGCACTTGATCCTTACGCGGATCAAGGGGGAGCTACACCGTTGGGCGGGTGCTCCAACGAGAACTAGTGGGGAGTGGCGACTCTCCGATACCTCAGAAAAACATCACCGTGTTCATTTTTCTCTCTTTACTTTGAGCATTTACATTTGAGCAATTCATTTCATGTCTTTACATTCTAAGAATTGTCATGTTAGAGTAGGATCGGAACCTAGGGTGCAAAACTTTTGTGCGGGAGAACAATAGAAACACATTCTAGGCATAAGGGGTGAAATGGGCTAAGTGTAGGACTTAATTATTGCAAAAAATTTAGAATTAGCCAAATTTACCCCCGTCTTAGGCATCTTGATCCTTTTAATTGGTATCAGAGCCTCGTACTCTCTAAATTAGGCTTAACCGCCTAGAGCAAGATGTTCCACGGGGATGGACCCCCTCCTATCTTTGAGGGAGATGATTTTTCTTATTAGAAAATTCGCATGGAGGCATACCTAGAGGAGTTAGATGTTGGAGTTCTTAGAGCTGCCTCACAAGGCTTCCCAAAACCTAAGGATCCCACCAACCTTCAAGGCGATGAGGTTAACTATGAGAAATGGAATGCAAAGGCTAGAAACACCCTCTTTAGAAGCATTTGCAAGGATGTCTTTAACCGTGTGTGGAACCACAAAGATGCCCATGCACTATGGTTGGACATTTATGCGCTCCATGAGGGAACTAAGAGTGAGCATGAGGAACGCTGTCACCTTGTGATAAAAAAGCTTAATTCATTTGAGATGCTTCCTAGAGAAAGTGCCATTGAGTTGTATTCACGCTTCAATGTTCTTGTAGAGGAAGTCAATGGGCTTGGACACACACAAATGCAACCATCTGACGTTGTGAGAAAGATCTTGAGTGTCCTCCCCATTGATAAATATGGGCATATTGTGATGGTGCTTCATCAAGGTGATCTTTCCACTGCTACACCAACTTAAATATTGGAAAAGATCAATGCACATGAGATGTATATGCACATCACTCCACAAGATGGCTCTTCTTCCACCAGGAAGAAAGATTTGGCATTTAAGGCTAGCCAAGAGAAGAGGAGCAAAGCAAGAGTTGATCATGATAGCTCAAGTGATGATGAGATTGATGATGTAAGTCTTGCTCTCATGGTGAGAAGAACCGCCAAGATGCTAAAGAAGCTAAACAAGAATAGTGTCAAGTTTGATGGCAAGAAGAAAAAATTCTTCACTAGTAGTAGAAGGAAGCCCATCTCTGAAATGGATTGCTATAATTGTGGAGAATTTGGTCATCTAGATCATTAATGCTCCAAACCTAAGAAAGACAAGTACAAGAAGAAGTACAAGGGCAAGAAAGATGACTCAAGTGATGAAGATGATG